TACCAGTTTCTTAAAATAAAATAAGATGTTCATGGTGGACACGTGTATTATCAGTCACAGGTTTTAGTTTGCTGATAGCATTTTGTTCTTGCTACCCAAGCTATAAACCTAGTCTTCCTTGATTCCTCCAGCCCCCTCGAAATGAGATGTCTCTGCTCTTTTAAAAGAGGCGAGGGACCATTTTCCTCTCCTCTCCTCTCTCCTGTAACACATTGTGGTAGAAAAGGAGAAGCCCAGGAGGGGGACCTGCAGTCGCTGCTGGGGCAGGAGCAGGGGCCTGCCTTTGCCTGTGCCGGGAATCGCCCTTCCCTCTGTCTGAGCGACACCGGCAGCTCTGTCCCTGCAGGAGGATTTGGGAGCATCAGCTGCCGAGGCACTGATGCCAGTTTTGCCTTACAAGTGCTCTTCAAAGTCCTGGGCTGGGCAGGTCTTGTACTCTGACTGCAGGTGGAATAGGATTGGCCTCTAGTACAGTGTTTGTTGCTTGACTTGCATTCTTAAATAAGAAAGTTGATGATCTCACAGCTGTTCCCTAAGCCCCTCGTTGTGGATGTGTACATGCATTCTGCATAGCTGCAGGACACATTTCTATCTTAGTGTGCTTTCCTTGCAGCTCAGCTGTGCTGTTGTGAAAAATCTTTGCGTTAGTGTTGCATTATTACAGTTAGCTGCAGTTAATTTCTGTTTATCTATAAAACTTGTTTGCTTTTGTTTTTTTTGAGGGAGTAACAGAAGTGCTTCTGCAATCAAGAGATATATTTAATTATACCACCTTTAAAACAAACTGTCCTAGTGATTCAAAATAAGGCATGTCTTATGCAGGAGTAATTATTTTTATAGATACTGTAGTTTGGGATTCACAATTGAAATAAACTTTTGCTGATTTAAATTTGCAAGAGGTTTAAAGAAGATGAGAATTAGGATTACCAGGTGCAAACTACATCAAAACACAGAGGATAATCTAATGGCAGATCCTCAGATGTAGGACACTGTCTTAATTTCAGGTAGTCTCCAAAGTGTATCAGCTTGTATTAGCCTCAGTTCTGCAAGTTTAAAAATAAAAATGGATTGCAATTCACAGTGCAGAGAGCATAGTACAATATTATAAAATTGCCATTTTAATCTGAAGTGACTTTGACAGATTAGAGGCTTTCTGATAGTGATGACAAATTAAGGTCAAGCTTTTTGTTAAAGTAAACAATGACAATGAAAAATGGCAATTTCCTTCTCTCAAATGTGTAAAGCAGCATTGTAGAGGGAGACGTGGAATGGTACAAGGACAAGCTCGATGTCCACCTCCTTTGTATGCCTTTGACAATATCCCCTGGCAATAATGTTGAGTTTCTTCTTTTCTTAAAAAGGATTTACAATCTTAATTGATGTAAATTGCTACATACCATGGGAAAAAATTAAGCTTTTAATTTCTCTTTTTAGTCATCTTATTTTGGTACTTATAACTATTATTGGGGCTTATGCTTCAGTGACATTTAGGATGTGACAAGGAGATTTGAGTGATGTCAAACAGCAGATTGACCCTAATGAAACGTTAAGCAGAGCTTAAATGAATATATAGAGAAGGTTGAATAAAACAAGAGATGCAAATAATTTAGTAAGACCTACTTCAGAATAAAGGCAGCTGTATTCACTTGGTCTGCTGCAAAATAGTCTGATAAATACAATCATTTTTACTTTCACTGCTAAACTAGAGTTTTTAATGAAAGATTATTAAGTATCTGTTTCTTGAATATTTAAGTAAAACTGCTTCTAAAACAATTTACCTTGTTATCACACCTAAATATCAAGCTGATATATATATGAGAAATAAGAGTAAAAATCCTAAATTTCACTTGTATCACAACAAATAACGATTTTTCCAACACCCCGACAGTTTCAACCTTTTATTTTCTTTTTCTTTACGTTTACATCTGAATTGAAGCTCTACAAAATCTGCTTCCAAAGTACTGCAAATGAAAGGCAAAGGGAAAGAAAGCACCGTATTTTAATTTAATATTTGCACCCAGTGCAGGAGCCTGGACACTAGCAGGTACTCACCGAGGCTGCAATACAGGCAGTTAGCATAATTTTGCTGGAATTACGCTGTATTTACAGACTTCGACACTGGTGGGTGCTAACATTTTATTCCCCTGCGCGAGGCGTGCATCCAGTCACTTCTAACAGCGCTGCCGGGGCTGAGCAGCCTCCGCTCCAGCGCCAGCCAAGGCGAGCTTCGGCTTCGTTCCTTTTGGGTTTTAAGCAAAGAGAGAAAAAGAGAAGCAAAAACATTTTTTTACCTTGCGTGCTGTCTGTTGTGGGGCTTGTGTTCAGCTGCGTCTCAGTCGCAGAACACCTGCCGTTTTCTTCTGCTGCTAATTGTGTGACAGGCTCATATCGCAATATGGCATCCAGATCATGGAAAAACTTCATGGTTTTAGTGACATCCCCAGAGTTGTGGGCATATTTAACCGTTCTGTATTCGTACTTCAGGTTTTTGTACTTTGCACGGCACTGTTTCCAGTCCCTGCACACTCCCAACTCCTGTAACCTTTTAGCAATGTAGATAAATATTCCTTTATTCCTCAGGGTGCCGTGCAGTTGCTTTCTGATATTTTTTTCTGACCAGACGCTTAACAAGGCTTTAACCTCCTCCTCAGTCCAGTGCTTCCCTGCTCCACTCTCCATGTTGAAAGTGACCTGGAAATGATTCACTATTTCTAGCCAAGATTTTGTTTCCTAGGAAACCAGACGGCTGGTTGTCAGTAAGCTCCGCCGAGATGAAAGGATCTAGTTTTACTGGCTCAAGCTGCCTGAGGGGAGTAACTTGAGACACTGCCAGATAAGCAGGCTCGGCGCTGGAGCCCGGCGAGGGAAGCGGCTCCGCCGACGGGGAGGGGAGACCTGGGCCGGGGCTCCTGTGGCTCTTCGGGACTCAGTGCGGGCACCAGGGTGCGGGAAGAGAGGCAGAGAGAGGCGGTTTCGTTCCTTTAAAAAAAAGCAAACCCAACAAAACAAAGCAACATCACACACACACGCACACACCGCCCTTGTGGCCTGGCCTCTGCCGGGAGGCCTGGGCAGCCGCGGCACCGAGCCTTCCCCACACGGGGCGCGTTTAGCATCGTCCTGCCCTGCATCTTCACATCTCCGTGCGCGGCTTGCCTCTGAACTGCGGCCGCGGAGACACGTTTTATATATTAGTGATGTTTTAATAAAAGGTGGCATAATTAAAGTCTGGCTCAGCTGGTAAAGTGGTGCAAACATTGTGGTAATGACGCTGAGATTCCATGTATTTTGTCAGCGCTAAGTGAAAGATGTAATCCAACGCCTTGACCAGGGCTTCCCTTGGGGTGTCTTCTTCCCTCTTCCTAGTGATTTAATTTCTATTTAAAGAGACCATGACAGTATTAAAATGGAAATTTCCTGTAATATTAACATTGCAATTGCAAGTTGCTGAATGCAGTGCATCAACCATTAAGTCTTACTACCAGTCTTTGTGTTTAAGTCCCGAGTTAAAGTAAATGTCTTTAAGAATGTCCTCATCTCTGATTATTTTCTTTGAAGAACTGTGTCACTAACAGGGTATATTTGTTAGATGTGTAGGAAGTTTGGTTTGTTTTGCTTTCTGTAAGCAAGTCTTTAAAATTTTTGCTTTACATCCAAGTGGGACTAGTAACAAATAAAGGGATTTTATGAACTGGAGAAAATTGGTAGTGAGTATGTCAGTTGTAGATTCACATCCATTCTATTGATTTTTGTGCCCAGTTTTATTGTTGCCTGTAATAAATAATTCCAGTGACTTCAACTGAGTTAAACCAATCCAATGCACAAGTAGGACACTAGTTGTCCTTCCCTTTTTAAGGAAAACATCTTTCCTATTCAGACATTATTATATGTGAGAGTGGACAGGAGCTCACCCGTTCACCAAAGTCCTGATGAGTGTTACAGGCACAGGAAGGCACATAGCAGCAGTTTTGTTATAGGCAACACTGCATTATTTCAGGAAGTCTTTTAAAGGGAGAGGGAGCAAGGGAGCAGCCTGCACTGTTATCCACAAACAAACAAACAAACAAAAAAACAAAAACAAAAAAATAACCCAAACAAACAAATTAAAAACCAACCAAACGGAAAAAAAAACAATCTGCAAAGCAAACCTTTTCAATGGATAATGACTGGATTACAAACCATGGGCAGGTGCACAGTGTTCTGCCTGCCTTGGGCAGGGCAGCATATGGGGTACACCCAGGGGACCCAGCAGGGGGAAGGGGTGGAGAGGACAGGCAGCAGGACAGGGAAAATACACATATTTCAGCTGAATCAGCTCTGCTCAACAAAGCACAACTGCCAGCCTGAGGCTGATGTGTGCTATAAGAGAAATATTTCCATTTGCAGTGACACTTTTACATCAGAGTTGTTTTGGCTGAGTTCAGAAGCTGAGATGCCCAACATTAGGCTTATGTACTCAGGTGCTTTTATGAGAGCGTCTGTGTAGCTTTTAGAGCTGTAAATGCTATCTTGTTTGCCTAAGTGCAAAAATGCAAAAGCTTCTGCATAGGTGATCAGTGGAAAAGACAATCCATTCCCCTAAGCAACACCATCAGTTTTTAATAACGTCTCACAACCCAAAGCAGAAATAGAATAGCACTATAGAACCTAGTACTATTGCCTAGATTGCTGTGCCTCTAAAAGTGTTTTTTCCAATTAAGCATCTGTTTTTACATTATGCCCGTACTGAAATTGAAGTCCAATAAGAGCCTGAGGCCGTGCTTATTAGTGGAAAGATTCTCACTGAATTTAGTGGACTTAGGCACAAACGTTATGCGACTGTCTTGAAATAAAGCATAACACAGGCAAGAAACTTGCAATTAACACAGCAATTATAAGTCTGTAAAATAAAAAACAAGGAAGTCTGTATTAAAATTCCATTAAAAAAACACCTATCTATTGTATGTTAAAGTGTTTCTTAATCATGCCAGTGCTTCATGTTAATTTTATTTTGTCCATAGGGGCCAGGAGAGCGCTGGAATTGTGACAAGTGATGGCGAGTCATCCCAGGCATTCAAAGTACACAAGGTAAAATGCAAATAAATGTTTTGTATTCTTAAGTGAGATGCATGTAAGTTAGTTTCTGCTAAGAAGCAGTGTAGTTAGAGAAAAAGTACATCTGATGAGCTGTTTCGATTTTGTCAGTGAATCTCATTTTGTTAGCTGTCTTGAGTGTATGCTTAAAAGACACCTGCCAACGTTGTCCTGATAGGTGTTTCTGTGCACACAGTGGCAGACACACAGAAGTTACCCAGAGCATGCTAATTATGTCACAAAAACTTTTTACTGATGTCACCCTCCCCCTCAGGTGTTAACTCTGCTGATTTGGAAGAGCATTGATGCTCTTCTTGATCTCAGAAAGAAAAAAAATACTGTTACAGACTATGCATAAGGAAATGGATGACTAAATCTTACATCAGTGAGACTCAAAGAAGTGGCAACTACTTTAACTATTTTACCCGTAGGTAGCAATAAACAGACTCTAAGACAGAATGGAGGCCTGAGAAGGTCACACAGACTTTCTTGAGCTGAGAGAATCACAGGGGATGTTACAAGACACATAGTGATTACAGCCTTAAAAGTATCTATTTTTAGTCAGGGAATAGATTGTTCCGTGAAAATCCTGAGCACAAAAAAGTAGATTGCTTTATTTAAAAACAAGACTGAAGGGATCTGATATACCACTGTGACACCTACTCAGCTCCTTTCTTTCCCATATCTTTCAGACTATTTGTCTTTTTCTTAAAGTTCCATTAATACTGTATCACCATTAAGCAGAAGAAGAACTTAGAAAGTCACCAGGAAAATAAAACCAATCAGAATCTTTTTTTTCTTTTTCTCCCAAAGGGAATGGGTCTTATAAATCACGTCTTCAGTGCAGACAGCCTGAAGAAGCTGTACCCTTCAAACCTTGGTATTGGGCACACGAGGTACTCCACCTCAGGAATTTCTGAGCTGCAGAACTGCCAGCCTTTTGTTGTAGAGACTCTTCATGGGAAGATCGCTGTGGCACACAATGGGGAGCTAACAAATGCTGCCCAACTCAGAAGGAAGGTTAGTACCTCCTTTGGGGGCTCTGGCATTGTTTCTTTCTGAGTGTGAGGCAGAAATGAGCAATATGGTTGCTGTGATTTTTCCATAATACCAAAAGTTACGAAAGAGCTCCCTAATCAAAATAGATCATTTTCGGGGGGAAAAAATCCTGTGAAGGGGACTCTGCCTTGATATTTCTTTCTAGGTCTGTTATAGGCAATTTCATATTTTCTCTTCTATATTTTAACTCTCTTCCCAGAGCATGCACAAAGCTAGTTAAATGGTCCAAACATGAATTTATGCCCTGAATATTGGTGGCATTAATTTTGGTTGCATGCAGAGCAAAGGAATGAGATGAAAAAGGAAAAATGTAGTACTAGTGTAGAAAGAAGATTGCCAAACTTCATTTTACATAGTTGGTTTGTTGGAAGAAACTTGGCATTATTATGTTGTGATCACATGAAGCACTGTAAAACATTTGTTCATTGCACCGAGATGTTGTTAGGTTCAAATCTGAGCAGTGTGATGTGAGATTGTTTGTTTAATGCTGGTAACACTTTTGGTTTGTGTCTTAAAAAGCTTATGCGGCACGGTGTAGGACTGTCCACCAGTTCTGACAGTGAACTGATCACCCAGCTGCTGGCTTTCACACCTCCACTGGAAAACGATGATACGGCCGACTGGGTGGCAAGGTGAGGAGCATGGGCTTCACAGTCAACACCAGCCATTAAACCTCAGCATGATGTGCAGCTGTAAATGCACACAGCTGTTCGTGTGGCACACTGTTATGTTCACCTATGTCTCATTCCAGAATCAAAAACTTAATGAAGGAAACTCCGACTTCATATTCATTGCTAATCATGCATAAGGACATAATCTATGCAGTACGTGATCCATATGGGAATCGCCCGCTCTGCATTGGTCGCCTTATTCCAGTCGGGGACATGAATGGAAAAGGTAAACTCTATATATATATATATATATATATATAATGTATGTATGTATGAATCTGCATATGCATGGTGTGTGCATGAAATCACTGATATAAGTAATTAAAGCTACACGTACTGAGGTGTAAGTAGGAATATGTGATGTAAAAATCAGTTTTGAAAAATCAAAACAAAAAAAGTTGGTAGGGAAAAAAATCATCTATAGAAAGCATGCAAAATTCCATTCCCAGATAACAGGGAATCTTAATGGCCTAATGATAGCCACAATTAGGCAGCCCAATGTAATACAATTTAAATAATTCTCATTGCTTAAATAGGAAAGCAGGGATGAACAGAATGCCAGAGGGGCTGAGGTTGGAAGGGAGCTCTGAAGGTCATTGGTCCACATCCTCTGCTCAAGCTAGGGACACTTAAAACCAGTTGCTCAGGACAATGTGTAGAAACAAGTCTGGTTTCTTCCTTTTTTCTCCTGTAGTAAGGTGGGCAAAATGTGCTGAACTATTTTCAGCATCTCTGAATTCCAAGCAATCCAGTCTCATGTAGTGACTGGACCATTACATGATCAGTTAATGGGAAAAAATCCTTGTGTTCCTGTTCAACCTGCAAATCAACAATTTTTCATTAAGTGAGATTAAAATATCTTCACTTGTTTAAAACTGAAATAAAGGCAAAGCAATAAACGCTTCCATATCTTCAGAAAACTGAGTAATTTTAACCACAAGAAAAATTACCAAGATTTTTTAAAGCATACAGGCACTCCTACCGTATGTGACACAATCTTTCCTGTGGTTGAGTTTCAAAACACTCATTGGAATTCAATCCAGCATCCATTGTAATCAAAAGCATCTATTTATTAACCTACTTAGCATAGGAAAAGTAAGGAGTTTCTTGTGTGAACAAAAGTAATTACGTCTATCTAAAGTCACTTAACTAGAATTTGAAAAGTTTGAAATAGTGCAGGGGTGAATATGATGCTGTTACTTCCACTTCTGCCTAGAACTGGTTTATGACGTTTATTTTGTGGATTTGTTTGGGATTTTTTTAAATAATGGAAAGGTGGAAACAGTGGAATGCTCTATCTTAGTTAGAAATTACAATAGTCATTCATTGCACACTTGGCAACCACAGCAAGCCAGATACTGCAGCAAAAACGCGATTGTGGGGGGTCATGGTAGCAAAAACTGGGGACTCTAACTGAAATCTTTTATTTCAGGAAAAGATAACACTGAAACAGAAGGATGGGTTGTCTCTTCTGAATCCTGTAGCTTTTTGTCTATTGGTGCAGAGTAAGTGGCCTGATTCTCACTTTATCTGAAAGCTCTTCCTTAGGCAGTGATTAAACATTAAATCCCAAGTTTCCAAATATCATAATTATAACAACATGAAAGACACCAAGGTTTAGTTTTGCTGTGGAGGGTGTTTTTGCTAGTCCTGTTTTTTCCCAGTTTATTTTCTCGAACAGATGGTTGTAAAATATTAATTATGTGTGCTGTCACAAAGTAAATGCCTCTTATTTGTTGCATTATACCTGATTACCCATATAACTTACTCATTTTGCCCTCATTTTCAGCAGCATAGGTGTATTACAAAATAATTCTTCACTTACAGAAAAGTTACACTGGTAGCTTACAGGCTGAAATAACCTGGGTTATAGCATATGCTGTCTGGTAAACTGGCCTCCTCGTTAGAAAAAAATGAACTGTTTTCTGAAACTTCTTCCAAATTTCTGTTAAGAGAAGTTCACTGTATAAGATAATCAGCTGAATCCTGTGTGTTTTCAATAAAGCAATTTTGTCTAAACTTCTGCTGTAGCTAGTGCTACCTGCTACTGCTAGTATCTGACCAGTGAATAAACACAGATTTGCTCACCTCTGATTTGCATCTCCAGAATATTTCAATATTTTGGGATAGATTTAGATGTTAGAATAGCCATCTGAGGACTCATTAAAGGATCTAGAAAAAGGCTTCATAAGATTAAACACTTTAGCATAATATACCTAAACTATTCCATACTTAAACCTAACTATTCCATACTTCTGCAAATTTGAGAAATAGAAGGTACATTTCTGGTCAGCTTTATGTAACTCGGGGGTAGCTGTTATCTCTAGACATGTATTTCTATAGATTTGGCTTGTGAGGCAGGATTATTTTGTCTACCACCTCTATCCTTGATTATGTTTCTTACATAATCACTGTACTGTAAGGTTTATTAGCTTTCACAGAAAAGTTCTCTAGTACTGATACAGGGCTGTATTATTAAAATATATTCAATCTCAATTAAGCCTGTGTAGTATGTCTCACACATAGGACAAATACCATAATTCTCTGGTACTATGTTTAGTATTTTTACTTAGTTTATTGCTTTTGGATATTAATTCAGACTTCTAGTAAGGATCAGTTGTCTTAGCATGTTGGTCTTAAAATGTTTCAGGTCAAATTCTAAGATGGAAGCAAGTTGTCATGTTAGGATGCTCAAAAACATTTTTTCCTGTCAAGAGTTGACTCTTGTCTGTACTTCAAAATTTTCAGCCAGTTTAGGACATTTCCAGCTTCTCTTTATTTCTTTTTCAAGGTACTATCGGGAGGTCCTTCCTGGAGAGATTGTGAAAATATCCAGACATGATGTCCAGACACTGGATGTTGTACAAAGACTTGAAGGAGATCCATCGGCATTCTGCATCTTTGAATACGTTTATTTTGCAAGACCAGACAGTATTTTTGAAGGTACAAAAATGTTACATACAGAGCTCTTCCCTAAATAGTGCAAGATGTTATCCTGGAATACAATTACTCTGGGATCATAGTCGAGTACCACTGAATATAAGTTCAGAGAGCACAACTGGGACAAAATGGGATGGCAAAGCTTTTGAGATAGAACTCATCAGGAGGAGCATCACCTTCCTGTTTCTGAATGTGGATGCAGCCTCAGATAGCTGCCTGTATACTCCTGTGGGAGGGATGAAAAGGGCCATAAACATGATTAAGGTAGATGAAGTATCTTTTATAAGTGAGAGACTGAAGAAAGGAACTTTATTGCTTCTTGGGAAGTAGACTTGTGAAATGGGGTTTACAAAATAACTATATTTTTCTTTGCAATAAGTTTCATTTCAGGAAGATGCTTGTAATTTAACTCGTAAATCTATGCATTATCTAAGTACTTGGCATTGTCAATGTAATGCTTTTATTATTCTTTCAATAGAAGCCCTCAAAATACTAGCCAGGACCGTCGTATCTGGCAAACAACCTCTTCATTGCTATCTAGGGACATGCTATCCATTGATCCAGTACAACTCCCCACCCTTATAAAGCTAGTTTCACCCCAAATTCCTTTTCTTTCACAATCACCTTACCCTTCAATATCCTCACTTCTCACATTCCTTGGTACTGCTGCTGTAGCTTTTGCTATGTCTCATCACAATACTTCCAATTCTTTCCCATGTTGCAAATTTTTTAGGACCTTAAAAGCTTCTGAGTCCCCTTATCCACTTACTAAATTCAGGGTGAATTTTGCCAACTGATTCAAAGCCACTAAGTGGACAGAAGCAGGCAGAAGGATGGCATAAATTTTGTGTGGTGGTAAAAGCAGTTTAAAAAGAGAATATGCACATTCTGAACAGGCAGGCATAATTTCTATTTCTTTCCTCCTGCAGATAGATTTTGTAACATCCACAGGACCTTTAGTTAGTTACCCAGTTAGGGCAAACTGGATTTTAATTCTCCATGTAGTGATAGAAATGTGAATGTTAGAATGTGATATTACGGAAGGAAATAAAAAAATGACCTTTTGCAAGTGACTACTTATAAGTTCTGGAACTTTTCTCACTGACTTCTATGCCCACAACTTTACACACACATTCATACAGAAAACTGAGAGGAAATCTGAATCATGCATACCAACCCTTCTTTCTGTTCTTAGGTCAGATGGTATATTCAGTCCGCAGAAGATGTGGGCAGCAGCTTGCTATTGAAGCACCTGTGGAAGCAGACCTGGTCAGCACTGTTCCAGAGTCTGCAACTCCAGCAGCTCTTGGTTATGCTCAAAAGGTATATGTTACCTTGTTCTTTTTTCTCCCCCAAGCATATTTATACACATTCCTTTTTGTAATGGACTGTAATGATGTGGGCTGTTAGAGCTGCATATTGATAAAGTTCTGTATCTTCAGTATGCAGGCTACTCCTATTGAGTCCCCTGCCTTGTTTTTTCCGTCATTATTTCTCTATATTAAGGTATTTAAACATTTTTTGGTTACTGTGAAGTCATACTAAGTCTTAAGGTCACTTTTAAAAACAGTAACTGAGACTATCAAGTCCTTCTATATTAATTCTGTTTAACTGTCTCCTGTTTGCAGTGTGGACTACCATACGTTGAAGTACTCTGTAAAAATCGATATGTAGGGAGAACATTTATCCAGCCAAATATGAGGTTACGGCAACTTGGTGTTGCAAAGAAGTTTGGCGTTCTGTCTGATAATTTTAAAGGCAAACGAGTTGTTATCATTGATGATTCAATTGTGAGAGGCAATACAATTTCACCCATAATAAAACTACTGAGGGAATCAGGAGCCAAAGAGGTAAGTTGATTTTAAGTCAGTACAATATAGATGTAAGTAGGAGTTGATGGGAGGTTAAAAGCACGGGGCTTGTCTTCATTTGTACTGTACATTGTTGCCTTATTTAAAAGGGTAGATTGAAAAAAAACAATGGCTAGTGTGTGTTTATTGTGAAGAAGGTTCTTTTGTATGAGTGTGCCTTTTGGGTGATTGAGGTGACAGGAACAGGTCTCCCCTTACAAAGCACTATCTGGTAAATAAAAAAAGAATGGAATACAAATGAGTTAAGATCAGAAAATCAGGTATTCCTGATGTAGGACTTGTGGAAGTGCAAAAAGTACAACCATAAACTGCTGTAAATACCACATATCTTAAAGTCACCAGAGCACCATTTTTTTAATTGATAAAGATTTTTTTAAGCAAAACAATGGGCAAGTCAGTCAATGGAGCAAAAATGTCCTGAATAATGTTTGATTTTGTAAACTGAAACTTGTTAATCAAGAACTGAACACCACTGAAGAGAAGTAAAATCAGAATGGAATCTTCTAAGAACATTAGGAAATACTGTAAAAAACAAGTTCTAAAACTGTCTTACCTTCTGCTGTGTTGGCATCTGAAAAAAACTTTATCTTACTTTCAACCCTTCAATGATTTCTGTGCAGTGCTGTGTTCTGTTCATTATCACTGTGCAGAATTGAGACTTTGCTATTATGTTATGATCTGCTGACCATCAACTTATATCAGCTTGTTTTGAAACTATTTTTATTCAGGTGCACATCCGTGTAGCTTCACCTCCCATAAGATTTCCTTGTTACATGGGAATAAACATTCCAACTAAAGAAGAACTCATTGCCAACAGACCTGAATTTCATGATCTTGCAAACTATATAGGTAAATGCTACTGTCTTTTTTTTCTTGTAAGAGTTGTCAACTGTATTTCATAATCTACTTCAAAATAAAGCAGAATATATCAAGGCACCAGTGGCAAAACTGGCTAAAGAACTGTAAGGTTGGTAACCCAGGTTTCTGCACTGTGAGTACTCTATGGATCAAACTAATTCAGCTACGTACTTTTTTTTTAACACAGGGAGCTGTATTTGTCAAAACAATAGAAAGTATTAGAATAATTGCATAAGCATAAGTTGCAAATAAAGTATGACAACAAAGCTTTCCAATACTTAAAGCTCCTTCTGAGAAACTTCACAAAAAAGAGCTACTGCAGTCAAAATACCAGGAAGAAAATAAGTAGTGAAAATCTGTCCTATAATGAAAAGCAGGTGTAGTTTCACTTTCATGAGATAGTCATAAAAACATATTCATAATTTTTAACACCCACCGAATTTTCTGCAAATTGACATTTATGTAAATGATTTTAACTGCACTATATATTTCACTATGAAAGAAATTGCATTTGAAACGAATCAAAGAATGTTAAAAACCTTTTCAAATTTTGAGTCGTGTTTGCAGCAGAACAAAACAAAGATCAACAGTTTATATTCCACTGTAAATTCCAATTTCCTGTGTTAAAACACTTACTTTCACTGTCTAATACTGCAATGACATCTTTTTCCAAAATTATTGTGAAGGTGTATGGAAATATTTCAAGTTTGTAAGATCTCGTTTTTTAAGTATTATTCACCACATGAATGCAAAGGATAGAAAACTAATGGTATGAAAAGGCTATCAAACATTCCTACTGCTAGAAAATTTGCATGAATTACATAATTTTTTTTTTTTTTAATATGACGATCTTCCCCTCCTCCAGGTCCCAGAGAGGCTTGGTAGTCCTTGGTGCTCAGATTTGGGAAGCACTAGCTACACACACATCTACCTCCAGACCTGAACTAAGGTTAACTCTGGGAGGCTACTGGGAGTTCAGGGAGTCTTAGTACACACTCTGGACTTTGCTTCTGCTTTTGCAGTAACGTGTCACATATTCATTCCCAACAGAACCTTCTGTCTAGATTTCAGTGAGTCTGATCCCTGCATAAAAAAATTAAGAAGGGCAAGACATATTACAGTCTTAAAATTTTTAATTCTCTTTCATAATCTATATGATAATGTGACTGCATTTTCAAAGAGCATTGGATTTGGTACAATATTGCAGCTTTGACTGATGACCCTTTATTTCCTTTATTTTATAGGAGCAGACAGTGTTGTCTATCTTTCTGTGGAAGGGTTGGTGTCATCTGTGCAAGAAAGCATCAAAGCAAGACAAGAAAACAACCCTAAAACCCACAAGTCACTTCTGGGAAAGCTTGGTCATTGCACAGCGTGCCTCACTGGAGACTATCCCGTTGAGCTAGAATGGTGAACTTTTAGTGGATGGACATCAGTTCATATGTTGCTGAATGTACCTTTTTCAGTGATGCCTTCTTGCTAAATAGCCTTCTTGCATTTAGGTCAAACAGAAGCCTTATGACAGTTAACTAATTTCTTTTAGTAAAGCCTTACAGAAAGTCTGATGTGCTGATGAAAACAATGTAAGTAGATTAAAATACAAAATCATAGTTTTGATGCACACTTGTGCCTTCTATTTTCTCACAAGATGCTATAAAAACCAAAGTTTTTTTAATTATGTAGAAGTCCCAAAGTTTGTTGTTTTGGTCTTGCCCTAAAAGCTTCCCCATTAGACTTGTTCACAAAGCACAAATCATGTGATGATGTAATTTCATATTATCAAAGTTTTAATGCAAAAGTATCCGAAGTTTGCTTTTTTCCTTAGGAAAAATACCAGATTCTGAAGAATGAAACTGCTTCCTCAGCAGTTGTTGCTTAGGCTTTTTAAGAGTGGAAGTGTCTAACTTTTGCATACAGCCTTTTTTAATTGAGACGTTTGTAACAGATTCTATGCACATGATGTCTAACATGATTTTTAAAAATGAAGACTCAGGGAAGTGCTCAGCCAAAAGCTCTTTAGTTTTGTAACTTTAAAATTCTGTTTTAGAAGTTATGTAATTACATTATCTTTGTGTGTTTCTATCAATTGCCAATACAGTGTGGAAGAAGAAAAAAAATACTTGGCACGGCCATTCTTTTGTGTTTTACACCTTGTTTTCTCTGGGATAAGTCTGACAATTTCTGAAATGTCCTTTTCATTTGTCACATCCAAAGGAAACTAAAAAAAACCCCAACTTTCCATACTTAACGGTAAAAATGATATGTCAAATGAAGGTCATGAGTTGTTTTGGATATAGTCTTGTTTTACTAGATTACTGCTGTTAGAATAAATGTAATGTTTAAAAAACTCAAGTGTTCTGAAGAACCATTAGCTGTTAAATACATTGTGTTCAGTCGGTCATAATTACACAGTTACTGTATACAGGAAGATCACTTGGACAATAACCACTAGCTGAAAATGGAAAAGCACCTTTTCAAAACCATTGCAAATTTCCGCACAATTTAAAAAATGTTTTGTATACCTCAGTCTTTCTCACTGAATACCAGCAACTTTAGATTTTCTATTTAATATTGTGTATTTTGGCCTTATAATTGTTTGTGACACTGTTGAAAAAAATAAACAGAAAAGTTTAAGAGCTTCTTCCTTCCCCATCATCTTCCATATAGTTGAGACTACAGGATTGCTAATTAAATTCAAAAGGGAGTTTTATGTGGGATTTGTAGCAATTGTGCCTGATTGACAATCACAACCCAAAAGTCCTGGTTTGAAAAAGCATGTAAATACACATACTTTAATGAAGTCAAGGCTGTGACTTGTGCAGTGGAATCAGAACCTACCTGCAGCCAGACCTATGGGAAAACCTAGATGTGATGAGCATGGGACTCTTACTAGCTGCTTCACCAGCACCCAGATCTGCATATTAGGGGATGTATGTGGATCTCTTCTAATTAGCAAGTTTGGTTTTAACAGAACCATAACAGTTCATCTGGACAGAACAGAGTGGACACTGACCACCCCCTCTTCCAGGTTAACCAGGAAGGAGTATGAAAAAAAAACCAGAAAAACTGTTGTGAACATTTTTCCACTGTTCTTCTTTCTCACCCGCAAAAGAAAATCATTTTTAGAAGGGCTAAGTTGAGATCTTAGATTGCAAATACATGTGAGGAGGCCTTTATATGTGAGATAAACATTCAGATGCACATTATAACAAGTCTACCTGTCTGTAATTGTCCACAGGACATACTGGAAATGAAACTTGTGCAAATTCTCTTTTAATGTGCTTTCAGCATAAAGCTGTTTTTGAAGTCCAGCAGTAGTAATTGCTTTAATGTGATTTTGGGTGGCATAATTCTAATTTTAAAATAACAAAGTCCCATTGCCTTTTCCCCCTTCCACATTATGCAAATTGAAAATCTGTCTGCTACTGTGAGCAACGTAATTTTTGAATGCGATGCTGAATCTTTATTAAATATTTTTCAAAATCTTACGTTAAAGAGGAGACACTTTTCAAGTGTAATTTTTCCTGACAGCTGGATTTATGGTTCAGGTTACTAGACCCTCTTTATCACATACAGCTAACACACCCATCAGTGAGTATGCTGAAGGAGAAAACTCTGGCTTTAGGTGTCGCTATTTGCATTAATGTTTTACTGTGAAACAGTTTCTGCTGTATTACCAATGTGCAACTGTGCCAAACTATCACTTAGACAATGTGACAAACAGTACAAAGCTGATGTCTACCTTCTCCCATGCAAACATTAAAAATAGTTGTGAACTGGTCTTCTCGTTCTTTCCCTCTGACGCATTACCGGCACCATGCAGAGAGGCTTATTTAATAAGGACACCTTTAATGCGCCTCGGAGCCAAAGCAAATAATTTTCTGTGAGGGTGGTGAGGCACTGGCATAGATTCTCAGAGAATGTGTGGATGCCCCATCCCTGGGAAGTGTTCGAAGTCAGGCTGGATAGGCCATTGAGCAACCTGGTCTAGTGAAAGGTGTCCGTGTTCACAGTGAGCACGTGTTGGAACTAGAGGATTTTTAACGTCGCTTCCAATCCTTAACATTCCACGGTTCTATGACTTTGTGTCATTAAATCACTCACGCGGCCCCCAGGGCAGTATCGGTGCCCCCTTCCCAGCACGGCTCCCGCTATCCTCACCCGCACTCCCCGCTGGCGGCCCTAAATCGTACCCGGGGGAAGCCCAGCCCCGGCCGCTGCAGTTCGCCCCGCCGGGAGCGGGGACGCTCCAGAGAACCGTCCAAGGATGGCTGCAGGACCGGCTACCGGGACGACCCAGGGACTTCCCGCTCCCAACACAGGCAAGGGCGGAGCTCCTGCCCCTCAGGCCGGACGTGACATCACTGCTCGCCCGCCCACGGCGGTACGGGCGGCAGGAAGGCCCGTACCACTTTCTGGGCAGGAGGGGAACAGACACATGGGGACGGACATATGAATGGACTGTGAGCGTGAGGGGAGAGAACCCTGCCCTTCGCACGAGCCATCTGCATTTGTTTTAAATCCTGCCCCATGTCTTCCGGGGACAGCGGAGAGGGCTTTGGCGCACTCGCTGTTCCTCTCTCCCTCTGTCCTTCCCTCAGGAAGCAATGGCGCAGGGCTCTGGCGGAGCAGGCGCGGCTTGTGGATACCAGAACGGCGCGACGGGCGCTGGCCAATGAGAGCGCGGCATTACCGCGTCCCGCCAATCGGAGGCGCCACCGCCGCCGCGCTGGGGCGGGGCCAGGAGGGCAGCGGGAAGTGCCGCGGGCGGGGATCCCCAGGAGCGCCGGGGGCCGCCGGGCCGTGCCTGTCCCGTATGGAAGCGGGGTAACTCGAAAGAGGAGAGCGGGCGCCACAGCCCGGGTCCGGCCGGTCACCGGTACGGGCCTGGCGGGAGGGCTCGCGGGGCAGAAACTGGCATTAGCACGAGCAGTGCCCGAAAAGTTCACGTGTTGCGGGTTTCTGCTTGTGAAGGAAGGAGTCGTATTTCACAATTCCATGGAAGGAGTTACTAATTAATTAAGCTGTGTTAACGAAGTTATTAATTCACTGATGCCCTGCTTTAAAAAACAAGTGTAACGGTGAGGAGCAAACTATCTCCGTACAAATCAAAAATCCAGTTTTGCGCCTTTTGCAGTCTGAGGCGTGGTAGAGCTGTGTATTCTCTGCCATGCATTTTATTTTTTTTTTCCCATTCCTGGTGGTGTTTCGCATGCCTTTATAGTCGGCCTGAAGTGTTGAAAGCGAGGCGGTGACGGTGCGGTCCGGTGTGTGGTTCTTGCAGGGGGCTGAGGCGGTGCGGCGGCGATGATGCTGCAGGAGCTGGTGGCCCGGGCAGCCGGCGTGCACTCGGACAGAGCTGCAGTCTGCTTTGATGAGTGCGCCGGGAAACCTCCAGCCTTCTACACCTACGCCACCGTGGTTGAGCTTGCCCTGGAACTGACGGCTTTCCTTCAGAAGCACTGTGACCACCCAGGCAAATGTGAAATAGGCCTTTACTGCTATCCAGGAATAAACCTGCCGTCTTGGATCTTAGGGTAATGGTTTGAATGCTTGCTCTCTGTGTTGGTTTTTTAAGGGTCATCTCTGTTAAAGCAAATTTTACGGTTTGTTTATATTTTTAATAACAAAAACGTAGTAATAGCATAGTAGTGCAGTCAAGGTGCTGGAGTCTTGCATCATTTAGTGAAAAAATGGCAATATGACAATCTTTGAAAAGCCATTGCTAAAATATTTCTGAATCATAAAACTGTAAACTGTCTGCAACTGCATCCCTTCATTAAGAGGGATTTAACATGTTTATAGAAATACAAAAAAATTAATGTCTAGTATCTTTGTTCTGCTTGTGTAAAACTGGAAGTGATCTGACAGAAAACATCTATTGGGAAAAGGACTGTGCAGGTTTTTTTAATGTATTGTCTTGCTGTCTAGAAAAAAGATGCTCTGAATGCAAATTCCATGTTTTAAGATAAGAACAAACATTCCATGTTTTAAGAACATACATTTAATGTTCCATTACAAATATTATGGAAAGAAGTAATAAGCAGTGTTACGCTAAAGTGGTATTCATTAACTAATGGCCAGGAAGTTGAAATGCTTGTGATCTCAACACTCATGTTAATCCAGCAATTTTAAAAATCTTACTTCTGCTGATGAATTGTAATGTTTGTATCCTTTATATAGGTATCTTTTATACTCCTAGCATTTATGATGGAATGGACAATCATAGGATCACAAGTGTATTTTTTCCAGCTAATGAATACATCATCAACTGTGCTTCCTGGGGGCATGGCCTGTATTGGTATTTTCCTGTTGTTCACACCTCATGTAATATACACAGTGGTACCAGAAGAGGTACCACAGTGGAGAATAATGATTTCAGTGGAGTGAACAAGCACTGTAATCATAAACGTCCCGCAAGCACTGAGGACCTTTCTCACCAGTCAGGAAATGCTTTTGCCCCCTTGCAGCAGGTTGCTCTGAGATGTTGTGCAGGCACCGTCCCTGGAGGTGTGCAGAGCCTGACTAGACAAAGACCTGAGCAACCTGGTCTGGTGTCACAGCTGGCTCTGCCTGAGCAGGAGGTGGAACTCAGCATTCTGAGCTCCCTTTGCTGCCTGATTTGTCTGTATGCCCGTCAACTGAGTGCTAACAGTTTTCTTTTGCTGTGTGAGGGGGATCTGCTGCCGCTCTGATCCTTACAGCTGTCACTGCGAGTAGCTGGCGGCTGTGTGATGCGCGGCAGGTTTAAGTGTTACAGGCATATGTAGGAACGTGCGGGATGCAGCCGTTCCCACCTCTCCGTTCAGGACCTTGGCGTTACTGCAGTGACAAACCACTTGCACAGAGACGAAGTATAATAAATAAATTGTCCGTACAGTACAGAACCCAACAGCAGAGCAGATGAGAGGATTTTTGAGGTGGGTTCATACTTCAGTCGCCGCTTTGGTTTTCGGGGCTGTCGCGAGTTGCAGCGCCCGTGGTTATCCCGGAGCGCCGCTGCGGGGCAGGCAGCGGGAGCGCAGGCACTTGGGGCTCCTCCGCCTGCCTTGTACGAGAGAATTTGCGTGCTTTGGTTTTTCTTACGCTGCCTTCTTTGCACTCGTAGGAAAGTGTTTTCGGCGTGCAGGCTTGTGGAGCCTTTTAGAAGACGTTTATACGTGTTGTATGTGGGTAAATGGAAAGGTTATATTTCTGTTTCTAGTCAATACCAGAAGATTTTAAAATGTGTGTACCTCTTGTAATCACTGACTTGCTTGACTAGAAATAATATTGAATGTTTTCATCTAGCTTTAATCTTTTCCCTTGTTGTAAAAGACCAAAAGGCAACACTGATTTCCATCCCACTTTGTTGCCAACAAGATTTTTAAAAGTCATGTTATGACAATATATTCTAGTTCAGGCAACTATAAAAGTATAAAAGAAATTTTAGCAAAATCTAAGAGGATGTTCTTATTTTTTAATTGTTTAAAATATTTTTGTTTTATTAGAATCCTTCAAGTTCCAGCTGCCTATTCACCTATTGATCCAGATGCACCACCCACCATATCCATGTACTTCATGAAGAAAAGTAATCTTCAGTATATTCTTGTTGAGAATGACAAAGTAAATGTAAGTGTTCAGGCTTCTATAGGAAGCATTAAAGGGCAGTTTCGACATGTGTAGATAGGCAGATTAAATTCCGTTTTCATAGGCTTCGATGGAGTGCTTTTGTTTTTTCATGGCTAAAGGTTGTCTTATTCAAAAAAGAACATCTTTAAAATCAGAAGTACAGAATGCTTCTCTCTTCTTCAAAATAATTGCCTTCTTTCCTGTTATGCTGTTGCTCTGGCAACCTTATTGAGCACTGATATTGGAAGACTTTTCCAGACTTGTTTCTTTATATGTTAATGCTAAGAATTGAAAATCTGCAATAGTTAAAGCTCCTGCATTTAATACTTGGGTTTCTCTTTGTCTAACTCATCCCAAATCTTGTACCCTCACTCATTGCAAAAGGAATAGACAAGTTACAGTTTAGATTCCTTGGTCTTCTGCAGCATTCTTTTGTATATTTTCCCTTTCTTCGTTTGCTCAGATAACTGTTTATTTTGCGTTTATGAAGTCTGTGTTCATTCATATTTAATTTATAGAAGTACTTGAGCTTATAACTGTCTGATGCGTGTTATCCAAAAGTAGAGGTATGAAAAATCACAGATTGTTTGTATGAAATGCTGTTTTGTATTTCCTTGAATGCAGTAAAACAATAACAGTGCCTCCTGAGTTCCACTGTTTGAATAGTTCATTTTGTCTTGCAGAAATTCCAGATGTCTCATGCTGGTTGTTTTTCCCACAATTCCTCCACCACAGAACGTATTGGTTTAACTCTCTTCCAAATGAGCTCAAGCAACACTGATGTCAGTTCAGTAGTAAACAATATGAAAAGTAAAGGTGAACCTTCCGAAGCTGTGGATGACTTGCAGCCGGGATATACCCTTTGCCCGGATCAAACCAAAGTAAAATCATCAGAAGCAGGATACATGGACGCTGGCCAGAAAGGCACTTTAGCATATGTCTTGCATACATCAGGAACTACAGGGATCCCCAAAATTGTCAGAGTGCCTCATAAATGTATAGTGCCTAATATTCAGCATCTTAAGTAAGTGTGATTAGTGTGATTTTTCAGTTTTCTTTTTAAATGCTTTTACAGATTTGATGCTTTTAGTATTTTTTTTTTCTAATACTTCAGAGGAATGTACATAGGGTTTTTGTTGACAACACTTCACTTCTTCCTCCTTATCCACTTTTGTGATTTTTTTACTTTTATTTCCAAGTAGAATCATATAACATTTTGTTTCTCTATCAGTATTATACCTAAATGCTGCTTTGCCTTCATTTTTGAGGGCTGTGCTTCAAATAGTATACTGTTGCTCTAAGTTTTGTACTGTCATCTGGCCTATGGTTTAAAAGAAATAGACAACAAAATTAATCATTTGTTCACAGTTATATTTACTATGTTCTGTAGTTCTTAAGTCGTAATTCCTTTTTAGACTACCCAGGTTTCTTTCTGTTTCATTTCATATTAAAACAATTCTATTATTGAAAATACAATTTTTTTTCTTTCTTTTCTTTCCTTTCTTCTTTGATTTTTCTTTCTTCATATTTTTCCTTTTTTAATGAGTATCTATTAGTTGAAATACGCCTTTCAATGAACTCTATTGATGTGTAATATGATGGGTATTTTCATAAAACACATCATCAACAGTTACAGTCCAGAAGCTCTTTCTCAAATTACCTGTCTACATATTCAAAGGCCTTAAGATCTGAACTTTACTAATGCATTTCTTTCATGCTTTTATTGTTTTAGTTGGGAAGGGTTTTTTGACTGTGTGCATCAGATGTGTAATTCCTAGCTTTCTTATCTTAGATCCATATTTGAGATCACACAGGATGATGTGCTATTCCTGGCTTCTCCTCTCACGTTTGACCCATCTGTGGTTGAATTGTTCATGGCTCTGACAAGTGGAGCCTCTATTCTTGTTGTACCAAACACCATTAAAATGATGCCTGTGGAGCTCTCTGCTGCTCTGTTTCACCACCACCACGTGACAGTGTTGCAGGTTGGCAAAATCTGAGTGTCTCCAGTGTCTTCTTCTCACTTTTGCAAATGTGTACTACTTTTTCATCAGCCTAGACTCTCAAGTTAATAGGACAGGAGTTTCTATTTACATAAATCAAGGACAATCCAGAATATGACATCCTAGGAGTTTTTAGTGTTTTGTAACGTCTTTAAATGTTCTGTATGCAGATTAATCAGACTTATAGGTTATATTTTACTGTAGCATTCTGGAATGAAGGGAAAAAAGGCTCAGACAATAAGATGAAGAGAATACTGTGTCACTTTCTTTTTCCAAGTAATTAACATAAGAACTAATATGCATACATTTAAAGTAATAGCTGAGACAAAAGGGAGCCCATAACACACCTGAGTAAAGAAGAAGCTTTGCAGAAGAACATAGATTGATGCTGATAGTACTCATTAAAGGCCTTATAAGCAACAAAATCTCACAAAACACCGTGGTGATGGTTGATACGTGAGATGTTTTAAAGTACATCCATAACACGGCTATGCAGCAGATAGGATGAAGCAGGAAGAGAGGTACACATGCACTGATAAAATGTAACTGGTCTTTCTCTTTTTTTAATATGTGTCATTCAGGCAACACCAACACTTCTCAGGAGGTTTGGAGCTCACATTATTAAATCAAGAGTGTTGTCTGCAAATACTTCACTTCGTGTCTTAGCCCTTGGTGGTGAAGCATTTCCTATACTGAGCCTCTTGAAAAGTTGGAAGCACCAGGAGAACAAAACAAGTATTTTTAATCTCTATGGTATTACTGAAGTGTCAAGCTGGGCCACTTGCTACAAGATTCCTGAGGAGGTTTTTAGTGCTGATTTTAGGTAGGAAAATTCGCTATTCTCAATGGCTTGGCATGTGCATTATGAAAATCACCAGAAATAGAACCTCAGTCTCCTGTTACCAGGGCTACTGAGTCCTCATTAGTGTTTATGCTGGTAGAAGTTAGGTTTGGGTTTTATGTAGAAACAGACTAATCCATTATCTCATGAGCCAGTACAGCCCCCCTTCCCTATTTTAGTAGTGTGGGTGACAGAAATTTGTCCAAAGTAACTCACCCAAGGTTTCACAGTAATTTTACTTAAACTTCAAGAAGTACTTTCTTTTTATCACTGTCATATTTCACTCAGTTTCTGACTTGTTTGGTTGTTTGGCATTTTTTCTTTATATTATTTTATAGAGTCATGAAAAATACTTCCCATTATCTCACTGTCTCGTTTTCTCTCTGAAATGTGTGATTGTTCCATGGCATAATAATTATTCATGCAGTTTGAGTTAAATGTATCCTACAAAATAGGATGGTTTACACAAATGATGTGATATATTAATCTGGTGCTTCAACCCTTGAAGACTAAAACTAGTGGATCATCATGAATTGGTACTAAATTCTCATGTAAAACTAATTTTCTCTGAGTTCAAACATAAAATATAATATTTTAAAATAGAAATTGAATTGGAATCCATACCAAAGTTATTTAAAGTTGCTGTAAGTTTTGCTTTACTGGAGAAAATATATTAATCTGTGATCCCACTTAGAAATAGTTTCTATATTCAATAAATGAGGTCCTTCAACTGCTTGAAGAGACTGGAGAATGAAGGGAGAGGATGGGGTTGGTCAGTAGTTCAAGAGAAGTCTATAATAGATGCATGACACTAAAATGGCAGTTTCTTGTATTTCAGTCTTTTCTGAACTGGTCATTTTCTAAATAATTTTCTGAACTTTAACTGTACTTATTAAAATAGAGTAAAAGCTCAAATTAGGCAGGGAAAAATGAGTTAGAAAGCCATTACATATGCTTAAATTGGTTGACTTGATGTTTCAATCTGGGAGACTTAAAAGTTAACTGAAGTGCTTGGGGTTCTCAGAGTATTTCAGGGTCTATTCAGGCTTTACTTTCAATAATTCTGTGGGATTTTCTAGTATATATTAGTGACAATCATGCACACTGATAAGGTTTTTAATTTTTAACAAATTGGTATGTTTTTAAAGAAGAAGCATTTGCAGAAAGAAGTCCCAAGCATCTACCTTTGCTCTAATGCCAGTCCTTTAAAAAACTACGTGTTACCTGGGACAGTTGTTTTGTGTTCAGAAGAGAAAGACTTGTGCTGTGTCTCTCTAATATATTTAGAATGGATTTTCCTATACCTCTGGGATCACCACTCCTTGGAACAAAACTTGAGGTCAGAGATGCCAATGGATCTGCAGTTCTTGAAGGCGAGGGACAAATATTTATAGGTTATTTTATGTTTCTAATTATTTTAAAATACTGTTCTTAATTGCTTGAGTTTTAATAATATATTGATTGTTTTACTTGATATTTGCCTGTGATATACAGGTTAATTAGCATTTTAAATTCTGGTTGGGCTGGGAACCTTATGATAGTATTAGGTTGTTGGAATGATGAACAGGAAATTACCATCATTTTATCTGCAGACTGCCTTCATTATATTGATTTATTTTTCCTTTCTTGCATTTTGACATTCTCAACTGAAGTAATTTCTGTGTATTAGCTGAATTAACTGCATAGCCAAAATTGTACATTGCAAAAATTTAGACGTTCAAAATAGTATTTCAGTATTTTTTATAATGCATGGTAAAGTTTAAGAGAAATTGATCAAACACTCTTTATAATTTTCATTTACAGTTAGCTATTTAGTATATATGACCAGAATTTTTTTGTGTAGGTGGCGAAGAACGAATCTGCTTTCTTGATGATGAAATAACTGTGCCACTGGGTACAATGAGAGAAACAGGGGATTTTGTAAGAGTGAAGAATGCAAAGTTGTTCTTCTTGGGTCGGAAAGACAATCAGATTAAACGTCATGGCAAACGGTTTAATATTGAATATCTGCAGCAGGTAAGTGCCACTATAAAAAGGCAGATGTGAGGAATACATTGTTATAATCAGAAATTGGTATTTACTTGTTTTCAGATGACTTTCAGGAGTCTAAAGGAATTCAGAGGGTGTATTATAAAAAATCTAGTCACATAATTTAGGTAGGAGTTTGTTTTGAGTTATTAGGAATCTGTTTTATTGTATGGTTTCTTCCAGGAGAATCGAGAACTGTATAAACATCTGAAAAGTACTGAGTATAGTGATTGTTCTACAAGATTGAGTGTCAGACTCCTGAATTATATCTCATTCATGGCATTTTGGCAAATAATACATATATCTTTGAGCTTGTTTTTATGTGAAGTGCAAGCTTCAGCTACAAAAGAAGATATTTCATAGGCTGTTATGTAGGAATGTGAGAAAAATACACTTTTTAAAGGTGTGCACTTTTTCCATTGTTTTTTGCTGCTTTTACTCTATTGATGAATGGCATTTCAAAGCAAGACTAATGTTTTTTTAATTACAGGTTGCTGAAGAACTTTGCCAGGTAGAAGCTTGTGCAGTTACCTGGTATCAACAGGAAAAACTTATCCTCTTTGTTTTACCCAAAGATGATTTTGAAGAAAGAGAAACACTTAAGGAACTCCAGAAGCATCTACCAGCCTATGCAGTCCCTGATGAGATTGTAGTGATTAAAGCTTTGCCTTTAACATCCCATGGTAAATGAAGCCATTTAGAACCCTTGCCATTTGTTTTAGTGGTATCCATTACCTTTTTTTAATTCTTTTTTTATTTACCAAAATCCAGTATCTGATTCATGCTTTTAGAATATGTACGTTAAATTAGTGATGCCTAGTAGGAAATAATGGCTATATATTATTATGTTTTCTTGATGGTGTTTCCTTTGAGAGTCAAAGAGTAGTGGTAAAATCAATTTAGTTTCAACACTGCACATTTCTTACCTCAGTTGCTGCTGTTGCAGTCTTCAACAGAACCCTCACTTCTGCTGAGTTAAAACCGGGCCTTGAAGGTGGGATTGTGTGGGAGGGGTAAATTTTCAGAAACCTTACTGGGTTTTGTGTAGTTGATCAACTGTGTAAAAAAAGGCAGATGCAGTAGAGTATGAATAAGGAAATACATACAAGAATACAGTGACTATTTGGGCAAAGCAATTTTTGAAAGTGCTAATACTAAAAGAGCAATGAAAAAAAATCGTCCTTTATTTTCTACAAAGGCAAAGTTGATATATCTGAACTGAACAAGATTTACCAGAACCATCTAAACTCCAGAAGGCGTGACAGTAAGCTGAGTGACGCAGAGGAATTGTGGGAAAGATTGCTGTATTTATGGAAGGTAGTATTTTGAGCTGCCTTTTTATCTTTGCAAGTGGATCATTATACATGTGTCAGGAATTAAACAATTTTAAGAAGTATGACTAATGCAACCAGAAAATTCTAGCTGCCCATAGATTTAAGCAGTACAGCTCTTTTCTGTTCACTTAATACTTAAATATAGTTGCTCTGCAGTGGCCAAGAGGGAGTAATTTATATTTCTCTATCAGATAAAAGTGCAGGCTATGAGGTATAAGCAATTAGTATAGAAAGAATGTAATCTGTCAGTAGCTTTTTGAATGCTGCTTCACATGCCAAAAAAAGGTATCACTAAAGAAAACAAGGAACTGGGACACGGAAACTTTGTAAAAAAATAGCTGCCCTGTTAGTAGAGTTTCTTATTTCTCAAGATAATTATACATTGAAGAGTCCTTATTTTAAATAGATGGCACAGTTGCACAACTGTCTCTTGGACTGCCTGTTTGCATTGTTTCTAAATTTCTAAAGACTTGTTTTTCGAGGCATTGACATATGATGCCAGACAGTATTACTTTGTTTTTCAAAAGTAGAATTATAAGTTTTACCTGAAAGCAGGATTAGCTATGGCCTAGGACTTGAACAAGTAAATGTAGAGTATTTATTTGTCTGTGCTGGTCCTTTTCACATTCATGGTTATGAAGATAACCCAAAGGGCTGGATGTGCCCTAGACCCATTATGGACAGAAAAGTTGTCCTCCAAAACCAAAGGGTATGGACTTGACATCCAGACTTAACAAGGGAGTGCAGTGAGAGGCAACACAGTTATTGCTGTTTGTAGTAACAGTTCCAAATGCAAAATCTTTCATGTACTGAAGAGCTTATAACTTCAAAAGTAGGTAGGTAGGTAAGTAGGTTACTTATATAATTCAGAAGTAAAAAAGAACAGTTTATATAAGCTTTATAATTAAAATAAAACACCTAATCTGATTTTATCAAAAGGCATCTATGTTCTATCTGCAAAGTTGTCATTGACAAATGGTATTGAAAATGGCCAATAAATATCTAGTTCAATTCCCTTTAATTCCTTAAACTACAGAATTGGAATTGAGCAAGATTTTGTAGTACAGAATTAGTATCTCCCTATTTCTTCATTCCTCCCCAATTCTTGTTCTCTCAGTCCCTCTGTTGGCACTAACATTTTCAATGATTTTTTGCAGAGTAGTGAATTTTCTCAGTTGTTGATTTTTAGCACAACTTCTAGGTGTTCAGGTGGAATGTACCCCACTTGAGGTTTTATGTGTGTGACATGATACAACACTTATGGACTGATACCTCTCTCCTTCCTTCCTTCTCTAGTCTGTCCTCGGTCTTCCATGTGATTCCACTGGAATTTCTAAAGATGCAGTATTTCTATACAGTGGTGGAGACTCCCTAAAGGCACTACGATTTTATGAAGAAATTGAGATATTAGTAGGAAAAGCTGTGCCTGGACTCCTTGAAGTTATTCTCAGCCACTCGCTTGAAGAGGTTTACAGACATATTCTTAAAATGCTGTTTCCAGATGAAGAGCAATTAATGAATCCTGATAATGTTGTGAAAAGAAAATTGAGAGGGAACAGTGGAGAGGAATTCCTTGGAAAATATATTAAACTGACATCTGAAAGAGATCTTGAGATTGCTTCAGGATTCATTCCATTTATTGCACTGAACAGAGGAAATCATTTTTTCCCTATGAATTTCACCAAGTCTTCTTTGCAGCCCAAAAATACAGTATGGGTAGGAGTGGAACCACTACAGCAGCCATCCTTTCTGCATTCCAAGACTGCAGGTGCAATGAAAAGCCATGTGCAAGGGTCTGAACTGGAGAATAGCATTTTAACACTTGAAAACAAGGCAAATAAAAATGACCATTCCTCTGTTCAGCAAATCCATGCAGAATGTCGTCATTCATCAGTGGCAGAGTTGGCATTGTGTGTGAGGTGGAAGTCAAACACAAGAAAATGTGTTGATGCATCACCACTGGTTATAATACCAGCTAAAGAAGAAGTATCTGCATCTGTGTATGTTGGCTCTCACTCTCATGCAATGCAGGCAATTGATCTAGATTTGGGAGAAATAAAATGGGAGAAGACCCTTGGAGATCGTATTGAATCTTCTGCCTGTGTATCCAAGTGTGGAAATTTCATTGTTGTTGGTGTGTATTTTGTTTCAGCATTCATTCTAAATTCTTTTTTCTACTACATGCAAGATGAATGGCTGAGAATTATATTTCTTATCTCTGGTTGTCCTCCATCCATCAACTTCCACCTCTGCCTCAGAATTAATTTATTGTAAAATAGAGACAGAAGGAAGAAGTAATTTAAGTTTCATGATAACTAGTGATGGAGCTTATCTAACATAAACGTTTGTGGTTTATTGTATCCCTGTTTATTAACAAGGAATAATCAATGGCTACAGTTTCTTTTTTAGTAGTAGATTAAGGTGTGACATTTGAACTGTTGTTTTTTGAGTTTTTTTTAAAGTATGGAAAAGTAATGCAGTCTTAAAATATCTTTGTAGATTGATAGAGTTAGAAATTAGTACATGGTACTTCATATTATTTTTCACAGGGTTTAATTATCTCATTTGGCTCTTCTTTTTGGAAGTATAAAGAACATGTTTGGATAATTTGTTGGTTTTTTCGTATCTGTTGTTAAAAGAGTTGCCATTATTTATCTTAGTGTCATCTTTTTAGCTAGTACATCTACATCACTGGTTAGTACAGATGTCCAAATGCTGATGTTTTTTATTGCAAATGCAATGTTGCCATCTTTTTATTTGTATTTTGATTGCTGTTCACTCTTGATAGTAAAGTTGAGTATTTCATTAACATGAAGGAGTTTCTATGATGTCAGTTCGGTTTTCATTAGAAAACTTACAAACTTTATTCTTTTAATACCTTTGTTTTCAGAAACAAAACCTAGACAAAGAGGTAATTTTTAAAAATGGTATTCTTTTCAGCCAACTTGCTATGTTTTCTAATACTGTTACAGAAAAATTTGATAGAAAGGTAGTGAAATAAGTATATTTTAAAGGTAACTTATCGAAAAAACACACAGAACAATTATCTTTGACTGTATCAGCAAAACCTTTGAGCTAAAAACACAAGAGGAGCTTTTGAAAATATTTTGCAACTCTACCTTATGAATAATCTTACTTCTTTCCAGCAGTAATGCAACTAGCAGCATAAGTCACACCATAAATACAAATAATCATTTTTCTTTTTTTCCCCCGTCATGTTTTATTCCACATAGGTTGTTATGATGGCTTAGTATATGTGCTTCAAAGCAGGGATGGAGAAATATACTGGACTTTTGCCACAGAAGACACTGTGAAAAGCTCTGGAGTTGTAGACCCTTCCAGTGGACTGGTCTACATTGGATCACATGACCAACATGTCTATGCTTTGGATATTTATGTAAGAACACTGACTAACTTTTACATGTAGAACAATAAATATCCAATTTAGACTCTATTTATAGTTCCCCAGAGGAAGCTCCACTGCTGTTAGTATACTTAGAAGTCCACAGTTCTGAAAGTTGGGCCTGCTGTAAGGGGGGGTTAGGATTATGTGGCAATAAACAGTTTTAGTTGTGCTCTCAGTTGTGGTTCTTACGTTACTAGTCCTGGTTGATACCAAATCTTAAGTTTCTTAGTTATTAAATTCTCCAGGGGTGTTTCAGAATAGGGTGCCTAGCTAGAACTGTGGTTTTCTGGTGAGGAAGGAATCTTACATTCTCAATGAGAAGATGGAGGGAGATGGAAAATAAGATACTGTCTTTTCATTAGCTGAATTTATTATATTTACTGGATGAGAAAGCCAACGGCACATATGTTCCTGTCATGGCATATAGATTGTCTTCACTTCTTAACTGGTATTTGCTGAGTAAACACAGTATTTGATAATGTTTGATATTCAGAGGTCTTTGTAAACACGATGAGCTCTAACTCCAATTGAAAAAATGTTTATTATTATTTTGCTTGTACTTTCAGAAAAAGGTGTGTATATGGAAGTTACATTGTGAAGGTGGAGCTGTGTTTTCATCTCCTTGTCTAAGTTCTTTTCCACATCATCTCTATATTGCTACACTAGGAGGACTGTTTTTGGCTGTTAACCCAGTATGTACCTTTGCTTATGTGTCTTTCATCCTGATCTCAAGTTTAAATGAAACCAAATGTATTTCTGAAGTTAAGATTGCAATTCTAATGAAAGGGAAGCTGATCATTTGTTACCATGAAATGTTTTTCACTTGGGGGCATTATAATGATATATAAGGTTACCATAATACTTCCCATACTTCATAAATCTATCTGGTGATAAGGAGAACTGAAGTGACTTGCTTGAATTCACATGTAGGCAGTCAGTTTCTTGTCATTCCCGTATCAGTAAAACCAGTGAATGAGAGCAAGTCGGTAGATTTATTTCCTGCCCCCTCCTGCTTTGACAGTAGAATTGGAAAAAAAATACACAGAAGTCAGAAAAGAATGCAGAAAGAAGCCCCTTCATTCTTCTTACTGTTTCCCTCCCCAGATTTAAGAGCTGTCCTTTTAATCTCAGTATGCAGTTCTGTTCTTTGCACTGGGGAAATGGCATTCTTGATAGATGTAGAGCAATTTCATGGTTTTCTGAGGCATTGTTGACTTACAGCTGGTCCTGCCTGATAAAAGGAACAGGGACTTGAAGCAGCTGTTAATGGTTTTGTACTTACACAACACAAGGCATCAATCCTAACAACCTAGGCCTTCCACCCACTAAAGCTGTCCTCAGTAATAACCAGTCTACCATTAGGAAACGAGTGCATGGTTTTGCAGCACGAGTGGGCTGTACTTAAGAAAATATATTTTTTTATTCTGTAATCCACGGTAACAGGTAGTTGAGAAGCCCACCTACAAGTGAGTCTGCACCTTCCTATTTTTGAGAATAATCCTAATTCGTGGAAAATGTGCAGGTACAGTAAGAATGCATTGTGACAGTCATAGATAGTGAGTTGCAACGTGTCCTAGAGTATCAATATAACTTGACTCCAAGGTGTATCTGCTTCATTGGTCCTTGTCACATAGTGATGAGCAGCTGGGAATGAAATAAAGAACTGAATCTGGCATTTATTAGGACTACTGCTAATATTAATTATCGTTAATTATCTATTAATTATAATTAATTATTAATTATCATTATTACTTTGCCTAGGATGAGGAAGAAAATTAGTTTTTGATTGCATTTTTGTTTTATGTGGATTTTGTTGTCATTGTTTTGGTTTGAGGGTTTGGCTTTTTTTTCCATACTACATAAGGGCTGGGGCAGGCAGTGATGGAAGGGTTGTTTTATTTCTTACACTTGTGTTAAGCATCAGATATTCAATGCTGCCACTTACAGGTGACGGGGAGTAAGATTTGGAAAAGCAACCTTGGAAAACCACTCTTCTCCTCTCCTCACTGCAATGAGAGCTACGTGTGTGTTGGATGTGTGGATGGAAACTTGTATTGTTACACTCATTCTGGAGAAAAGGTAAAAGTGTTGTTGGGTTTTTTATGTCTGTCACAAAACCCCGAATAAGATACTTTATTAGGACTGTTTTCTGAGGCTTAGTAATTGACATACACCTTTTTGTGAATCAAATAGAAATGCCTGTTGTTACAAAGTAGAAAAACTGTTTGCCTGGGGTAGTCCATGCAGTTCATGGCAAAATCACAAGCTCAAGTTGCCTGATGCAGTAAGAGAATTTCTAGTTCAGACCTTATACCCAAAGTAAATTGTCACATGTAGTGCCAACAAATGAAGTAATATTTAATTTGAAGCTTTTCAATCATGTTTAAGGTATCTCTTCTGTAAGATGGTGGTTATTCAGAGGTAAAGGTTTCTTAGAATTTCTATGCATTTATCAAAAAACTGCCAAATCATACTTCTGGTAAAATATGTGTCAGCCTTCATATTGAATTAAATGAGAGTGGTTTTTTAGTTCCTCAGATGTAGTAAATATAAATGTAGTATCTGGTGTTAAAACAACTGGCACCATTCATTTTTTGGCCTGAGATGCAGTATTCATGGCAATTCCTAAGCCTTTTCTGATTATAAAGGACGTGTTAGTCCATCCGAGCACTGCTCTCTGCTTGCAGCAGATACTCTCTTGAGGAGGGATCTGCACATTGTTAGCATAAGCAGAAGAAATCTGTATTACAAAATAAGTATCTGCCTTTCTGGCAAAGAATGGCATATTAACAAGATTCTTGATGTTCATTACTAATTATACAACAGCTCAAGAATATTCTTTTCCCAAATTGGCCATTTTTACGTGGGCCTCACTGAAGGTAGTAACTCTTCCCTCTTCCACATTTATTTTATGAGACTTTTATTGCTTAATCTCTGTGTAAAACGTAACTTATAATTTAACAAAGATTTGCCAGCCCTCACTGAAATCTAATATGCTTTTGAAATGAAATGCTCTTCTATCAACAGCAAGTCTATTAAAAAATTATAGTTGCTGTAAAACTGATAATGTAAGAAACCTTTGATAATGAGTGGTTGTGTTCTTTCTGTAGGTTTGGCAATTTTCCACTAATGGGCCAGTGTTTTCATCTCCGTGCCTCTCAAGTTTAACTAAGCAAGAAATATTTTTTGGCTCTCATGACTGCTTTATCTACTGCTGTAACATGGAGGGCAATTTACTGTGGAAATTTGAAGCCACTTCAAGTGTATATGGAACACCATTCATTTTCCAAAGTGATGACTTAAATAACAAAATTCTCTTGGCAGCAGTATCTACAGATGGCAAAGTGTGGATCCTGAATGCCAAGAGCGGAACAGCAGAAGGAGTAGATAAGCTTCCAGGCGAGGTTTTCTCTTCACCCGTAGTATGGGGAACAAAGCTGGTTGTTGGCTGTAGAAATGATTATGTTTATTGTCTAGATCTGCATATAGCAGGAAAAAATAACAGCTAAGATGTTAGGCTGTTTCATTTTTATTGTTTATGTTTGTAAACTAGGAGCTCACATGTGCTCTCTACCCCTCTGCCTACTTTGCTGAAGGCAAGAGATGCTCCTTGCAGGCTTATCAGGTAGGGTTTTGCATCAGGGAGTGTCCTGTGGTGGAGGGAGGATGGCTGCTCAGCCCCGTTGCCAGAGAGGGGACAAAGTGTAAGGTGCCATATTCCACAGCTTGGATAGCAGGCTGGTCTCCAAGGGAGGAGTGTATTGCTTTCTCTGAGTCCGTCCTCGCCTGTGCCTGGCTCTTCCTTGCACCAGACTAGTGTTTGTCTGTCAAGATTTCTGTGCCAGGCAAGCTAACCCAAGTCCTTTTTTGAATCTAACTTTTAACTTGGTTTCTGGAGACATAGCCTGAATTTCCTGTACCTGGAAGGAGAGACTTGTTTACTACAGTTTGTACAAACAGAATAATTCATCTTTTGTGGACCTAGGCCCATCATGGCTTAATTAATCTAGCATAAACTTGGACTCCATTGAAGTCCGTAGGAGTTGTCTCTTGTATTCTAGAGTGGAAATAACACTATAAATATTTATTAAATTTCAATGACAGTAATGGTACTGAAGTGTACATTGCTCAAATCAACCACTGTCAAGTAATTTTTTAAGATATTTTAATGAATGCTGTTTACATTGTCTTCACAAGAACTATTAATAAAAGGTTGTGTAAATTGGGTTTTGTGTTGTTTAACATCTTAGAAACGAGTACCAGGGGTCTTGGTAATGCAAATCAAGTACTTGCAGTGGCAAAAGTATGCTTCACTGAGAGCATTTCCTAAGAGTCTTCTAAAAGAAGTATAGTAGAAACTCTTATCTTACTTTCTCTCATGAGCCACCTACTTTGAATCCTGTGTAGCACAGAGCAGATTTGTAGCACTGCAAAAAGTTCAGTTTGTAAGGCAAACCTGAACTACATGATTAGCAAAATGAGACACAGAGGACGTGTATCAATGATTAGATAATTTTGACCAGGTTATAGTTTAATAAGAATTAAAATGACAGTATAATAAACAATTGCACTTTAAAACATTTGAAAAATTAAAAAAGTACACAACAAATACCCCACAATTATACATCTTGTAGTTTTTATACATTACTATATGAACATAGAGGTTAATCATATATAACCTTGTCAAAAGAAATGGTATTTTGTGTTTGTATAAGTTACAAAAAATTGAGACAATATACTACATAGTGGTTTATTCGGTTCTTAAAACATTTTTTCTGTTTTAAACTGGGTAGTAGTGTTTTGGATTTATTTTTACAGATTTCCAATACTTTATCAGAAATGGTTGCAACAAAGCTAAAGCAAAGTAACACTTCTCTTCATTGGTATTTAGTGCAAATCTTTGTTAATTTAACATGAAATGTCACTGTTGCACATGTACACTTTAGAAATGTTTCCATCAAGTACTGTACAGTTTCCATTGTTACACTAGATACCTTTATGGTTGAAAAAAAAACTCTGCTTTGAAGCTTTAGCTTAGGACCATCCTTAATGAAAGCTCTAATCTATGTGCTATAAATGGATTGTATTGGAAAATTGCATTCTTATGTCATGCACAGTAGCACCTAATTTTGCTATGCTTTTCAAAATACCGGTATCTTTAATCCTGATTTATTTCACCTTCTCTGTATTTCTACCTGGCTCCCCCTCCCAAGACATAATTGTAAAAATGGATTTCAGGCCATTTAGTTATTACATATCCATACTGCAGGCAAATAAACTTGGGAAAAATGTAAATTTAAGATGCACTAATTCCTGGTGCTAGCAGAGCAAAAGTAATTACAGGGCCAGTTCTTTCTTCAAATATTGAAGGCATTAAGTTTTTTCCCAAGCAGTTGAGAGCAGCATTGTCTCATTTCTGCTTAAAACATGTTCATTACTTATATTCATGGTAAAGGTTACTTTAGAGATTCTGGTTTTAAATATGAAGCTGAGCAAAATTGATGGCTTAAGACACCCAAGAAAGCCCATCTTGCTTCTGCACATGTACTTGATCTAACACATCTGTTGTGTTTGTGCTACTGTAACCATGATACTGAGCCTCTGTCTTCTGTTCGCTGGGAAAGGCTGTACTTGACAATGACTTTTGCTGAAACTCCTTTTTGATTGTGGGAACAGAGTGTATAACAGGTTTTGTTCTGTTTTCTGCATAGTTTAAAATGCTGTTTCTCATGCTGCTTACAGCAGTTTGGCTAAAACACTTCCATGAAGCATCTGTTGTATCATTCTATAATGATGTTATTTCTTTTCATGAAAATATCTCCCTTTATGATGTTGTAGGCTTAAAAGCTCCTTTGAGCCCTGTGGGTTTTTTTTAAAGTCTCCCTTGTAAAACAAACTCTGTTGATTTATTTAATAGGGTGACATTTTAAAATGCAGACCTAGAGATTTCTGTGGGATGTTGAGGATAGTGACGTTTTTATTACATCTATGGACTTTATCCTTTTTTTTGTAAGAGGGAGGGGGTGGACATTTCTGTTTTAGTTACGTGAAGTAATAAAGTGTTCAATTGCCACACCAGATACCTGAGATGGGGTAAAAAAACCTCTATTTGAAGTGTTCTGGCTGTGCTGGTCAAAGTACAAGAAGTTATCTGAACTGCCTGATGTTGCACATGGAGTAAAATCGGTTAGGATGCAGAGTTAAAACTCCTAAAACTCTCACCGACTTAGCTTTCAGTTCTCAGTTAACTTCAGTTCTGCCAGCCCTGCTCCAGTGGGAACTTACTGAGACAAATTCTACAGGAATTTGCATTCACACAGGAACAGTTTAATTCCAGTGAATTGATTTGAAGTTGTAATACACAATCACTGTCTCTGTGCAGCATAAATATGGCCAAGCACAAACAGTGATGCACTTAAATGACTAGAAGCAGCAGTGAATCCCTGACTTCTTTCTGAGAGCTTAATGATATTTATTTAAAAATTGTGGCTTTTTAAGTAGGATTAATTCTTCTTAGAAGTGAGGGTATATAAATGTAGTGTATTAATCCTATGATGAAAGAAATTACCACAGCATTTGGATGGTACCATCTATTTATCATTTGCATGTGAAAAAGTGTATTCTGAAGCTCTTCCATAGTGAAAAAGCTTTCAAATAGCAGGCAGAACTGGCAGTTCATACAGTTTAACATGTTTAAATAAATTATGACTTAAGAGAAGGAAACATGCATCTTTCCTTAATTTCAACAACAAAGTTCTGAAAAAATTTCTGAGATCTCAAACATAGAGATCTAAAATTCCAGAACTGAATACCAACAGAATTTAAGAAGCTTCTGAATCCTTATTCTGTCTGGCCCTTTTTATGATACCTGCTAAAATTTACATCCAGTATCTGAGCACTCAAGTTTTTGAGAGAGTCTGGCTGAGAGATTTTTGCCATGACCTCCTTTAGCTTTTTGTCGAAGCAATGGAATATATGACTTGTGTAGGCTTTACAGTGAGCTAGAGCAAAATGGTAATCAGTTCAGTTTTCAGTCCTTCCAATACATGCATTTTCAGTTTTGTCATGTGTAAAAAGCAGAATAAATAAATCAATAGTCAGCAACAGAGATGTAACTTCACAGTTTACTTTATGATCTGTGGACAATCACTCCAGGCTTTTGCTTTCCTCTTGGCTAGTGCAAGCCAGGCTGGTTCTGTTGACACTGGGTTAGCATCAGGTGTAGAGAATCTTTTGGCCACCTCCTTTGTCACTGGGGTTGATGGAACAGAATCTGAAATTTCCACTTTTTTTATGGGATAGAGAGAAGTTAAAAAGAAAACAACATTAGTTGAATTCTGTGCTTTGTTGCAGAATTCTAGAGATTTCACTTTTATGTGAAGGTATTCTAACAGTAGGTATTTATTTCCAACACTTTCAGTTAGATCTTACTAATTGCAAAATAATCAAGTTAGGTGGAGCTGAGTTTCCTTTTTCAGAGGTGACTCCAAGTAATCTAACTCACAAAAATAGGGACAAAATTTTCAGTCCTTGTGACATCCAAAGAAAATATTTCCAATTTGCTTGTCTTCCTCTTTAAATCAATTACATCTGCACCATAGCAAGCAATGGGAAATAAAGCTGGAGGTTTTTTTCTCTTTGGTAATGCAGCTGCTGCACACATGTAAACCAAATATATTCAGTAATATTTAGATTCCCTCTTCAAAGAAGAAGGTGGTCCTATAGCTTCCTGCCTCAGTTAACCCTCCCAAGAGACTGTCCTGAAAGAGAAAGAAACCTGCTTTCCCCACTAGCTGTTTGCCACATTTTCTTCTAAGTAGTATAAGACAAACAGCTGTCTCCATAAGAAAATGTGTTTAATAAAAAAATTATTTATTAGAAGCAACTACACAGAGCAAAACCATGGAAGTATTGTAGAAGTCAAATGGGAAAATAAATTCTGAGACAGTGAATACCCTCAAAGGCAACTTGAAATGAGTCCTGTCTTAAACATATGGAGTAACTCTAAAAATCTTAGTTATAAAATAACTCTTCACTCCATCTCCTGGCCCCTCCAGTTACATATTTTGTTTTTTAGGAGGTAATTTTTATTTGTTAAATGTTCAGATTCCCAATTACTTTTAGTTGCATTTCATTTTGGAAGTTTTGAATGTGTATAAAAGCTTTAAAATTGTGTAGAAACTTTAAAATTGCATGGATGCCAAAAATGTTCTATTTTTCTTTTTAGTGCATCTTTAATAATTTATTTTTATCTGCAGGTAAATGAACAGTAGCAGCAACAATTTTTTTCTCTAGATGGACACTTTGAAAAGCTAATTATTTTAAATACTATGCTTTAAAATATAATTATTTTAAATTTATGCTATTTTAAAAGTCCCACACTCCTATCAGTTCCTGTTGTACAAGACACAAGTGTAATTTTGAAATACACCACCTTCAAGTTGTGAATGTTTTCTAATGTCCTTAGAGGAGGACTCAGCAGACTTCCATTTTAAACATGTTCTAGGCTGGTCTTCTGTCTTAAATGCTCTTCTAACCTTGGGAAGCCCATATCGATCTTATTACCCACAAATACTTGTATATATGTGTAGTTTCTAAAGGCTGCCTGGCTCCAAAAATAGTCAGTAATCACAGGGAAATCCAGTCACTATTTCTTAAGGCCAATAGAGTTCTGTGCTTTCACTTTAGATATTTCAAAATTGGTAATTTCTCCTCAGTCTCCTTCTGAACTGTCACTCTAGTGCAGAAAAATGACCTTGAATAATTGGGTTTGGCCCTTTGATCTAATTTGGCATCATCTATTGTGATGGAGTTTGATTTCTGCTAGATCTGACCATGTACAGCATAACATTCTGAGTCTTTCGGGGTAGGGCTGCAGTAGAGCTGCTTTAGAGTTTGACAGGAGTGCTGTAAAGCATGAACGTTTTGGGCAATTTGTGTAAGATCTTAGAATGGTTTGGGTTGGAAAGGACCTTTAAAGGTCATTTGGCCAACCCAAGATGTTCCGAGTGAAGTTCTCAGGGATATCTGCTCTGGTGTGCAGCTGCAGTGTGAAGATCCAGCTGCTGAATCAACTGAATATAGGCAGGTGTAGGGGGTTTTCAGTTTGGGATTGTCTGTAATGCAGGAGTAGGTTTAGCCTTTAACGAATTAGTTAAGTCACATCATTGCTTTCAATAGTTGCATTTCACCATTCTTGGCATAGAGTGGTACTGAGTAGATGCCACTGATATATGTATTTACTTTCAAGAATGCTATTTACTTGAATAACTTTTAAAAAGGTTTCCTCAACACCTATCTACTCTCTTTTCCCTAGGACTACTGTTAGCTAGAGAAATATAGGCAAGTCTATATTTCAACAATCACCTCATGCCACCTCAAATATTGTGCCCTTTGGGGAAGTACTTGCCTGTCTTTTGAATATAAGATAGTTTCAGCTTAACTGAAGTGACAGATAAAGCAGTGGGTTCCGGTTCCAACCTACCATGCCAAAGATTTGACTAGGAGGGAGAAGTCCTAGATTCAAAGTAACAGACTGCCTTCAACTGAATTGATTATCTTCTGCATTTTTCAAATGAGAATACTCCTTTCCAGTATTGGGGGGGTTAATATTTTTACTTGACAAACTGGGAGGTGTGAGAACACAATATGCTTCATTTCCTGCACAAATATACTTTGAAGAAATTAAATATAACTCCCTGTCTGTTCTAACCCCCAACCTAAAGGCAAAACAGCACTGCAATTGCAATTTACGGTAAATCAGATCCCTCTAATGTGCATTAGTCATGTTCCAAAAATACTTTTGGTTATGGCTTGGGGAGACAGCCTAATTTTGTTAACTTGAACTGGGGCAATTCGAAGGCGTTGCAGCAGTGCAGCCTTAATAACCTGGGAAGACTGGTAGAAGGCTGTGAAAATTACGTATTTCCACCATAATGACCAGCACACGAGATGGGAATAAGTTGTGTTATTCTATGGAATGCATTTGTAATTCTAGCAGTAGTACATGAGGGAAAGGAAACCCCCTCGTGCACTTTCTCAATACCATTTCTGAAGTGCATTATTCCTAGAGTGAATCTGAATCTCTCAACTGTACCTGTCACAGAAGTTGGAAGGGTGTTCGACTTTTTTAGATGCTCCCTTCTTTCTAGTCTTGACACAGCAGTCTCAATTTTCTTCTCTCCTTCTTGAGTTGTAGATTTCTGAAGTGTGCTTGTTTTGCTGCTGCTACTTTTGTTATCTGACTGATTGCTTACAGCAGCCTAGAACAGAGAAGGAAAACTGCTAAATGAGAAAGTCTGTCATGTAACGGCTACAAGTTAGAGACTAAACACTTGATGCTCTCATTCATCGCCTGTCCTTTCCTTAACCTTCCTTTCTGGCAAAGGATCACAACACTGATACTTCTAATACCAACAGTTATTAAAGACTGTGAAAAAGCCCCACAAAGTTTAATTTGTCATGTTGTCATTTCAGTCAAAATACTTCAGTCCTCCCTGTTATATACAGCACTGAAACACAGTGTGCATCTGTGGGCAACCTCACGCCCACTGCTGTTTTCTTCCATCAGTTTTCTATGTCTCAGGTTGTGCCTGTATCCATCAGAAATTTGGTTCTCCTAACAAACAGGAAAATATATTTTGTTATCCACATATTCTCCCTTTTTACCATCTGTGATATCTATATATAACATCACTGTTTGTGCACCATCACTTTGGTACTGTAAGTAGAACTATTCTTACTAATAGAAAGCCATAGAGAGTAAGCAGCTATTTGGAGAACAGGAAAGAAGTGATTGAATTCAGTGCCAGCATTTGGATGGATGATCATAATCATGATTGTTCATTTCTTTTGTTCATCTGTATTTTACCCAAATATTATGTGCTGAAAAAAATAAAAATCCGGACTTACTAATATTCAGCTATAATTGCATATTCCAGCTGTAAAGGTTAACATCTCACTCTGAAAGAACCTCATTGCACACAATTTTTCTGTTCCATCCCCTGCACAGTAGTTCTTCTTATGATTGTCATTAACTACCACCTGGTATCATCAAAGTTTACACTAAAATTGCCGAACTATTGCACCCTATTTTCTCCTGAAGATCTCAGCTTTGCAAGAGGGAACTCCAAACTTTCTGAATACTTTTTACTTGCTGTCATTTTACCTTTTATGAATTCTTACCAAACATTAAAAAAAATATTCCCACATAACAAAATCAGCTAACAGTTATAATTATGGTGTCGGTATTTCTAATGGGCAGGTTTCTAAAGATTGCTTACATTTTCTTTAGCCAGTTTCTCCGCTTGTTTTGCCTCTCTGGCTTGTCTTCTCTCCTCTCTCGTAGCTTGCTGCTCACGAAATCCCTTTTGCTTTTGCAGTGCTAATGTAATCCAAAGTGGTTGTGAAGTTTCCACTTTTTCCAACAATTTTGAGCCATCTAAAGAGTGCCTGCTCTGAAGGACAGGCTTTTCTGAAAGAAAACATGACAAGAATTGATTGAGTAATGCACATTTCTTGTCTTGAGAAAAGCCCTACAACTTCTCTACCTTGCGAAAATACAGGAGCTAAGCCCATTGAATGCCATGTCAGTCACAGACCTTGGCAGACTGCACGACAAATCCTGAAACAGATTTTATGCCTCAGGAATAAGACCTAATTCGACACACTCACCCAGCTGTCCAAATTTGTCCCTTTTTTCGTGTGTGTGAAAAAAAGAAAAAATCAGAAGTTCCACTGAGATACTGTTTTAGACATGTCCTGATGTTTGAAAAATTCAAGAGTGAAAAGATTTGGGATTTCCCAATGAAATGCTGAATTCCTGTTTCAGTCTTTTGAGTGTCCTTATTCTGAAAGGGTAATTTTCCCTCTTGTACAGAATACCATTTCAGGACACAGGGGCTTTCAGCTCTTCTCTGAAGAGACATTATGACCACTCTAATTGTTTTCATCACTGAAGACTGCCTCAAGCACAGACTGCTGTGCCCAGCTGTATTGTTTAAATAAATAATTTGCCCAGGATAAGGGGATCTAGATCTTAATATTTTTGAAGGTAGATAACATTTCTCTAAAAAGAAAATCAACAGAATGTAGATTTTAAAAATTGCACCATCTGCTCTGATAGCACCATTATCCATGGACCACAGAGCCCATCACCTGACTCACTAGAGGCAGAAGTAACATCTGTGCTGAGGAAAAATACACACACACACACACACACACACACACACACACACACACACACACTTCTCTTACCTCCCTGAAATTACCTTTCTTAAATAGGTTGCACTGGTCACACTGAATTTATGGGCTTTCACACTCGTTCAGACAACCCTAAGCACTGTAACAGTCCTCCACAAGTAACCTACCAGGTAGAAATTATAGCTTCCTTCACAAGTAACATACCAGGTAAAAATTATAGCTTAAGACCAAATGTATTCCTCTGGACCTCAAATATCTAATTTTGGAAATGCAGACAATAGCTAAATTTGCTTTGAAAGATACATACCTTTCTTCAATGGCTCAGGCTTTTTGTCATTTTTTTCTCTCCATGGAATACTTAGAGATGGGAAAAATGACTTCCTCTCTTTGATTTCTTCCTCTTCATTTTTGCAGTCATTGGATGGTATGGGTTGGGCTGCATTTGCTCTGTCTTCTTTTCTCCAGCCACCATCTGATTCAGCTTTAACCACCCTTTGCCCCAGCATTTCAGACAGGTTTGATCTGTTCATTTTAGAGAGAGGAGATGATGGTGGGGTCTGGCTGGTGGGCTTTGGAGCCAAAGCAGGTTTCTGTGAGACCAGTGACTTGCTTGCTGGTTTCTCATGAGGAGGTAGAGCACTCTGGCCAGTGGCTGGTGGGACCCCTGATGTGCCCACAGGTGGTGAAAACTCCACCACAGTAACTGAAGAGTCTTTTAAATTACCAGGGATGTTTGCTCTCCCAGTTCCAGGGGAGGTACTTTCTTGTGGAGTGAAAACAGAGGATTCTTTGTCACCTTCTGTTGAGGTGAGTGGGTCAGGCACACCATCAAAACTGTCTCCTGCACTGTATCTTTTCTTTTTCTTTTGTTCTGCCTGTTGATCATAATGAAAACGTAAAGAGTAGTTTGTCCGTCGTAACTTTATCCCGAAAGGAGAAACATTTTCTTCTCCATTTGATGGTGGTTTATCTGCTTTTTTTGTGCTGTTATTCTGCTGATTTTCCGGAGCATTGGGAAGTTCTGGCTGGGGTAATTCCTTCCCCATAGAATGTGGAAAACTTGGAACAAGGAATGATGGAAGATCTTTTGCAAATTTACAACCTTCAGTGCTGTCTGTCACTTCCCTATGGGTTTCTGTTTTCTCCTTAGGCTTTTCAGCTAAGTTATCCTTAAAAGTGGAAACGACATCCTCCTTTGAATCAGCAGATGAGTCAGTGGTTCTCCCCACAGCCACTGTTTCATTGCCTTTTGCCACATTTACATTCTCAGCATCTGAATTGGATTTTGAAGCGTCTGAAAATTTCTGCCATGCTGGTGTTATGGAGAACTTTGCATTTGCAGAGAGGGTTTTCCTCAGATTGCCGTGGGGAGCTCCACGTCCTCGGGGTGTCCAGTCATCACTGTGCCTGCAGACAGTTACTCGGTCTCGCTCATATTTGTTGTTTTCTGCATTCTTTAGGATTCTGGAGCGGATAGAGGCCCACTCGGCCAGTACAGCCTGGTTGTTCAATGCCTCTTGTGCATGTTTCATTTTACTGCTGCTGGGTTTGGGATCCTGTTTTTTTCTCTCAGACTTCTCTGGAGAGGGAATATCCACATTTTTCCTCTCTTCTGTTAAGCCAAGTAATGATTTGCAAGCCGTGTCCTTAATCTGGTTCAAGTTCACTGCTGTGCCACACAGCTGTGCTCCAGTAACCAAAATAGCTGTGTGAGGTACACACACAGATGATGGGAGGGAATGAGAGCCCTTACTGGTAGTGTGCACTGTGCAGTCTTTGACAGATGGAGAAGAGAGTCCTGCTCCTTTGATGGGCATAACAGGACTCAGATTTACTTTCTGAAATATTATCTGTTTATCTCCAGAAGACACTTGAAATGTGAAGGGTCTGGATGCAGTTTGTCTTTCATCTACCTCTTGCCACCGAAGTTCTTCCCCTATGCGTTTTTGCTCCTGAGCCTCAACTTCTCTCTTCAGTTTCTGGGCTAGCATTTCTTCTGCTGTTTTAGTCTCTTTTTCTGGCTGTTTGACTTTTTGGGAACTTGATCCTTCTTGGAGCTTTTCCTCTGCTAGATGCCTATCAGCCTCTCCAGCAGAACACAACTGATCTTTTTCCTGTGGCTGTTCCAAGGATTTTTCTTGTTTTGGCTGAAGATTTTGTCTTTCTGTGTCTACCTTCTGCTCTTTCAGCTTGTTCCATTCATGTCCATTTTGTTCCTTTTGCTGCTTCAGTTCATCTTGTAGAATACAGTCTGAGCTTTCCATGTGCATTTGTTTTGTGAGTTTGTGTTTCCTCTGCTCTTCCCGTTTCTTTTTCTTATCCATCACTTGCTGGGGTTGTTCCTTCTCTGTCTCTTCATTCTCCTTCAAGTCCTGTCGTTGCTCCTCCTGTTTCTTCTCTTGTTTGAGGCTCTCAGGCTCTTTCTCCTGTTTCAGTTTTATTTCAACTTCTTCAAGCTCTTTCTTTTCTAGTTCTTGTCGCTGTATTTCTTCCTTATTTTGTTTCTTGAGCTCTTTTTGTTCCTCCAGCCAGTTTCTTTCTTCTTCCTTTTGACTGCCTTTTTCAGTCCTACGTTGCCTTAATTCTTCCAGTGCTGGCTTCTTCTGCTCCTCCAGCTCTTGGCTTTGTTTCTCCTCCATATCCTTGTGCTTCTGCTCTTCCCATTCCTGATGCTTCTCCTCCTCCAATTCCTGATATCTCTGCTGTTCTTGGTGCTTCTGCACCTCCAGCTCTCGTCTCTGTTGCTCTTCCTGTTCCTGGTGCTTCTCTTCCTCCTGCTTTAGTCTCTGCTGTTCCTCCCATTGCTGGTGCCGCTGCTCCTCCAGCTCTCGTCTCTGCTGTTCCTCCTGTTCCTTGAGCTTCTGCTCCTCCAGCTCTCGTCTCTGTTGCTCTTCTTGTTCCTTGAGCTTCTGCTCCTCCAGCTCTCGTCTCTGTTGCTCTTCTTGTTCCTTGAGCTTCTGCTCCTCCAGCTCTCGTCTCCGCTGTTCCTCCTGTTCCTTGAGCTTCTGCATTTCCAGCTCTCGTCTCTGCTGTTCCTCCTGTTCCTTGAGCTTCTGCACTTCCAGCTCTTGTCTCTGCTGTTCCTCCACTTCCCAGTGCCTCTTCTCCTCCAGGTCTTGTCTTTGTTGATCCTCCAACTCCTTCTGCATCTGCTCCTCCAGCTCTTGCCTTTTTTCAGCCTTCATCAGTCTTTCCTCTTCATTGTGTGTTTGCTCTTCTGTTTTCAAAGATGTCTCTCCTTCAAGGAGGTATTGCCTCCTCTCTTCTTCGCAGCGTCTTTTTTCCTGCTCTTTCCGCATCTCCTCAAGTTCTTGGCACCTTTTTTCTTCCATTTCTCTTTGTTCTTCCATTTCTACAATCTGTCTTATCCTTTCAGCTTCAAGGATACCCCAGTGATCTTGAATTCTTTTTTCCTCTGCCGGCTGAAGATGCTTCTGCTCATCTCTGTCCTGGATTAGCTTCTCTGCTGTGAAGCGTCCATTATAAGCTGGGTATATGTCCTCATACAGCTGAATTTCTAGGTCCTCTGGCTCAAATTCTGTTATTGTTAAGCTTTGTGATCCCTAAAATTGGAGACAAGTTTGGAGTTACTGAACATTGCCTGTTGGCTTTACAGTGAACAAAGAGTTGCAAATCCAAAAAAAAAAAAAAAAATTAAACAGTGATTTAGATGAGCCAACACACCTCTTCCCAATTTATGGATTACATCATCATAGATCCCATGTTTCTCACCTATTTGGACGATAGCCTTTAAATGAAACAAAACATCCCAAGAGTGATATAATGCCAGTATAATGCCAACTATTGGATCACCGTTTGGTATACATTGAGACCTGCCATTTCAAATTTGCAGAATAAATTTCATATGCCCATTATTCTTCTACTACTTAGAACTCCATCCTTTAAGCTTGAAATAATTAATGCCTGCTTAGGGGCATTGTTTTTCCTGTTCTTTCATGGCAAATCTGGTACTTGCAGAGACAGAGCTGTTGTCTGCAGAATAAAGCTCTGCAATGAACAGGAAAGAACACTCCTCAGGGAAACACAATTTGCCTTCTTTTCACAAATCCTGAGCCAGGATATCTTCCTCATTAGCTGTGCTGAGACTCCAGTGCTATTGTAGGAACCATGGGAACATGTATGGACAGTACAGCCAGAGCTTCCCAGGAATACTGCTCTGTTCTGTACCTGAAGAGTGCTTGCCTTTAGGAAAACAGCTCAGCTACTGTCCTGGCCAGCTATCATTTGTCGAGCCATCATTTGGCTCCAGTTAACCATTCTATAAACAAGAGGTTTTAATTTAATTTCTTCATTGCAAGAGTGATAAATCCAAGTACAGTGGTGCAGAAGAAAGGGCAGTGGCCTCTCCTGAGCCACTAGTCTTGTCCTATGTACAAGAACTAATAAGATGTCAGGATAAAAACCAAGACAGATGTGCAGTAAGTGTACAAAGCCACAACTTTGTATTTCTCTCTATAGCTGTTGCAAGAGCTACATTACTTAAGTCTTATTCTTTCTTATAAGGCAAAGATATTACTCCTGTCAGAACCCATTCTCAATTAAGAGAATATGATTTTTTGCCAACCAAATTTTGCACCATCTGATTGCCTGAATTAGAGCAGCATTAGCAGCAGCATATGTCTTCAGGCCATTATGACCTAAAGGTTGTACTAGAAAAACTAGAATCAGAAAACTCTCCCAGTGTAAAATCCTAGTGGAAGTACTTCAGGTTTAAGTAGTATTTGTCTCAACAGGCAATATTAAAATTTCTTTGTGTCTTCTCTCCAGCTAGGGTTTCAGAAAAATAACAATGTTAATCACATCTTAAGTCCTCTGTCTATAGATCCTGGTACACTCATTTATGGTTATTTTGTACCCAGTTTCAAAAGTAATCACCCTCCTCTCACTGTTTGGCCAGTCATTTAATACCTTTGTCAATCTCTTGTGCTGTCTTGACATCCTCTGCTTTTTTGGCTTCACTGACAGTTTGTGCTTAGCTGCACTGTTGTCTAGACGAGCAAGAGCCTGGGGAACTGAATCCAAATTGATTGTTTCAATTGTGCCAGAACAGGAAAACTGTCTTTTTGGCCGAGCTGATTTAACTGGAGTGATCTGTTTGTGTCATAAACACAAGAAACCATTATTAAAGTATTTGTTCCATTAAATAAATAAATAAATACATAAATACATAAATAAATAAATTACAGACACACACATCTTTGCAGGTTTGAATTAAAAGGAATTCTTAGCAGAAAATATTACAAATCATAAATTTTGGACATGAAAGTTACAGCTCTAATATTTTCCCATTTTCAGTATTACACATTTTTATAGTTTTCACATAAAAATTACTTAGACCATTCTATTGAAATTTTTTCACAGCTTAACTCCACTCTGAACTTGTTGGGAATGGAAAAGGCACAGGCAGGGTTTTAAGCAACATCAAACACTGGGACATTTTAAAGTTTGCTTACTGTGAAATAAGATCTACATCTTTAAATAATTTAGATTATACACTTTAGGCAGAAGAAAATCAGATTGACTTATCTAAGCATCATAACAGCTACAGAGCTGTACTCTCTGCATGGGAGATGACTGCAGCATTGGCTCTCAGACTGGCAGGGTGCCTGTGGAAAAGCTTCCCTCCAGAGTCATGTGGAGTTGTCCAAGACAGCACCAAACAGCAAAAAACTAAAGTAAGTCAACACTGGCTTTGATGGCTGCTTTATTTCTTTATTTCTCATGCCCTTCAAATACTTGGGTTCAGAAAGTGTAAATATAAGCAAAGTGATTCAGTGAGACTTCTTCTGTGAATAAATAGTGGAACTGTATGTCTAGGCATGTAAGAATGGGCCTGTCATCTGTCTCTTCCATAAGTCATCAAGCTATCATGCCAAGACTTGCATTTGGCGTAACACAAATGGAAAAAGAAGACAGAGGAAAAAAATAAGAGAAAACATCTTCTGTAAGGAAAGAAATCACATGCATTGTTTTCAAGACAGCTCTGTAATCTTCTGAGGTTAAATATATGCTAATCAGGGAACCAATTACTTAAAAGCTGAAGGAACATTTTGCATATGCTTATTGAATTACATGCAGGCATAACAAAGTAGTAGAAGTACTTATGAAAATTATGACTCTGTGATTAATACATCAAATAGAGGAATGCTGCAAGACTGGCAAAGACTGGGTTCTGCTGTTTCCTGCAATCAGCTCTTAAGATTTCTCAATCTTAGTTATTGCTTATTTACTAGCTCCAAAACTGCACAGCATTCACAAAACATTGGATGATCAATCAAATAGTGTATGAAAACAAAAACTGCCAGGCTTCTAATATCTAATATTTGACTATAACTCAGTGCAAACCAAATGTAGAAGTTTTTTTACCTTTTCTTCCATTTCATGTCCCGTTCCAAGAAAATTCATTTTTCTCAAGAAATCTGGAGTGTCAGTGGGCTAGAAAAGATTACCACAGACAAGTATTAAAATGTAAAGGATCTAGTGAATATGATTCTAAGGACTTGTGAAATCATGTATGTTAGAGTAGTATTTTTCCCTCTTTCCTATCACTTCAGGACTGATGGACAGGCAATTCTTGTTCCTACATGCTCTGAGCTTGTCTTCACTGCTCCTTGAAGCACTGCTGTCTATGAAGCAGTAAAAAAGGCAAAACACTCAAACTTCCTTAACAAGATAATCAGGTTCCAAAACTAAAGAGCACAGCTCTGTAGGATTTTGATCAGGTCTTAATGATTTTATTTTCTCCTTACTTACACATAAAGAAAAAAGATACTAACCTGTTCAGGCATTACCTCCGCTGCAAGGAGTTTCAACTCCATGTTCTTGATGACTCTTTCTGCAGAACTAATAGTCCCCCCAGAGCCATGGGAGCCTGGAGAACTAGGATTGTTTAGCTGCTGTCCCTCTCCAAGCCATCACGGGGAGGAATTTTCAAGGCACAGGGCTTGAAGCAGCAAGGATCCCATTACACCACATGATTGTTAAAATCAAGGCTAAAAGCTGAGCTTCGCTACTACAGGTTAAATTAAACCCAGAACTCTTGCCACCAATCTGAGTTACTCAGTCAGGAAAATCAGAAGTCACAAAGCATCACAGGAAACCTGTTCAAAGTAGAGATCTATGTGGTCCTGGCCACCATTTTTTGACAGAAGCCACCCCATCCCCCAAAACCTGTGTAGATAGACATGCCAAGGAGTTATAAGGCCAGCAGATGAGACAAGAGCAGAAACCAGGGAAGCTGCCATGCAGCAGAAATCTCAGATAACACTGGCAATTATTAGTGTGCAGAAACAAAAGGAAAGTACCAAGTGCTCTGGCTGACACTATCCATGTAAAATTGGTTTGTGTCTACTACTGCCTCTGAGTAGGGATGGTTACTCCTTCAGTATTTAGAAAAGAATTATGCAAAAGGGTGTTAATTTTGTTTTCAAAACGTAATATTTTAAAGAGTAGGTGGTAAGAACTGAATTTCTCCCTCTGTGTTACACAAAAACACTCTAGCTGGTTTTTAGTGCTTCAACTATTGTATCCTTTGAGCTGGAAGTCACCAGATGACACTGGGGTCTCCTGCAGGACCCAAGAAGAAGGCTGTCTGCAGAGAATCTGTGTTTATCTCAAACACAGGCTCACCCAGCATCAGGGTAGAGACAGTGCATTGCCAAAACATGTCCACAGTCCCACTGCACACCTTGTGCTCTGAGGCACATGGGATGCTCTTGATTCACCTTATTTTATTGCACCAGAAGGAGTGCTTGTTAGGCAAAAAGATAGCACCTTAATTTGGTTTAATTTTTATCTTTCCAAGGGAGAGGTGTGCAGGTCCTCTCCAAGTGCCTGGCTCCCTGGCAGATTGAACCACAGCCATGAAAGAAGTGGTCACAGAGGAGCTATAATGCCCCTTAAAGACTGATGAAGAATTTGGGCCAGCTCAGCCATAAATCTCCCTTCTGTGAGTTTGGCTGAGCACAGGCATGAACTGACAGGACCCTTGCTGCCTCTGCATTTCACACAGCCAGTACTAGTGTTAGTGAGCCTGAGCAGGGGCTCATGCCCCCTGTTCCAGCATCCTAAGGGTTGTGTGTGCATACTGGCTTGCTGGATGCCTTCTCCAGGGGTTCCCAGGCACAAAGTCAGCCTCCTCCAGGCATGGAAAGTTGTCACTCTACTCCTTTCTGCAACACACTGAACCAGTCTTGCCTTAGAGGATTTCCAGAGACCTTTCCTCACTCACATGTTTATTCACTGTCGGAACAAGACCCTTCTGGACACCTAAATGCCCACAGCATCAAAATCTCCACGAATAATTTGAATAATTAATTGAATTATACTGGAAATTTTATTTTAGGAAGCATTCAAAATTCTTCTCTCCCTTCTTCACTTTTGGTTCCTGTCCATGAGAAATATGCATCCTTACTCTAAGACCTAGGATTTTATAGGTTTAGGCTTCACACACCTCTCATTTTGAAATGATTTTCCTTTTTGGTATTTGATGCTGTGAACAACTTTCCTTGCTGGGAAGTCCATATTTTAAATTTTTTTTCTGTACTAGAAAAATTTCCTGTGTTCTAGCAACACTGGAAGTAATGTCTGCACTGCTGGAAGCTCAGAGCAAACACTCAAACCAGTAATTCAGTGTGACCTGGCTCAGGATGCCAAGAGCATGCTTCCCACCAGGCCAAGAAGCACAAGCTGAGAGATCCTCCCACATAAAACAGCCCACTGAGCTCTGCTACGCCTCACTGGAAACATCTGCTACACCTCAGTGAACTTTGCTGCTTTAGTACTGCCCTAGTGCCATGGATATGTCAATTTAAAGTGCTTACTTTATTACTGCAGTCTGAGATCACTGTGTCCTGCTGGGTCTCAATCTCCATGGGGCTGCTGATCAAGGCATCATCTTCTGTGCTGGCGTTTGCTTCCCCCATTGTCCTCGCAGAAATTGTCATTTGTGGAGGCTGCCCAAATTTTATATTTTTGGCCAACTGTTGCTGAAAAACAAGAAAAATAAAACAAACAAACAAAACAAGTATATATATTACAAGTAAAACAAGCCAAGTCCAGCAAGGGCCTCTTCTCTGCCTGAAAGTTGAAGAGAAATTTTCTGAGCAAAATATTCTGAGCAACTTCTGACCCTGGACAAAAAACGAAACAAAATAAAAACAAAACAAAACAAAACAAGCAAACAAACAAAAAAACCACAAAAAAACTCACAAAAACCACCAAACCAATCTGAGGCTCACATTGTTGCAATATGGTGGGCACCCTCCTTTCTTTCTCCCCACAAGGTGACTCAAGTGAGTAATTTACTGCATGATTTCTGATTTTGAATTATCAAGTTCTTGACAGTGTTGCCAACTTTTGAAAATTTACTGTGAGTTTTGAAACACTCAATATCTTTTTTAAATCTATGTTCCAGGTTAAGAACTGTATTTATAAATGCTAATTATGAAGCCTTATTGCTGTGAATAAATAAGCTTATGAAAAAAGTATACACTGAGAAACTAAACTTACCCCAAAAGGCAACCTTTTTCTTTTCTAGCCCCCAAACCCTACATCTTATGCATTCTTATTTCTAAAAGGCATCCTTATTGTAATGTTTAATCAGAAGTTTTAAACGTTAAGGGTTTGGCACTACCCTGCCTTAGAGAGGCAAATTCTCAAAGCAGGGGAAACTCAGCTCTTTTAAATGCTTGATCTCATAGGAAGAATAGATAAACTCATGTCTACTCATGCTCACGAGCACTGTCACTCACTGCTGTTGCACAAAGAAGTTCAGGCAGGGGACATGCAAGAGATGAATGGATAAAAAAGCTTTCCCACCATTTATTTTCCATGTTGAAGCAATCTTCTCTCAAGGGTTACAAGGAAGTACTCCCAAATTATATCAAGCATAAGATGAATAAAATAAGAAGCATATACTATGTCCTCTAGCAGGGTGAGTTAAGGAAATTGCAGCCCTAGCTACTGCAGAGACATGTACCATACAGACTTTGAACGTGAACTTTTTGCAAAAGAGAGAAGAAATTCTCTAGAAGGAGAAAATGGATCAAGAAACATTTATGAATATATTCTTTTCCTGAAATATTTCGGGGAATATTTCTCAATTAGGAAGGAAGGGACTGTGGAGTTATTTTCCTGCTTTGCTGTTTTTCAAGGACAGAAAATTCTCCAAAGGGGATCTCTCATTTTTGTCTTGTGATACTATGAATGAGTAATTCAACAGCACAGCTTCTATTCAGTGGAAATGTCAGGTACTTACACAGTATCCTGGCAGAAGTTTGCTGCTGAGAGCTATGGAAGATTGGAGTAGATTAGTAAAACAAAGATTTTATTTTTTTTCTCTATAGCATAGAACCAGTAACACAGTGCACGTATGAGGAGTTGTTAAGGAAAGATTTCCTCTAAAGGAATTCAAGTCGGATTAGTCTTTCTTGTCATAGTTCCCAGTGGGCTGGACTCTTATATCAAGTTTATCCATATTATCCCAAAAACATTAACAGATTTCTGTATTGAACCATTAAAACAAAAATTACATGCAGAAACTCCTCATAATTATGTTATTAAACTAGAATAGCTTTTCTCAGTCTCCTCACTGAATTAGAGTTAGTTATTTATGCCCATTTGAATTTTGGCAGAAAGTAGTGAAATTCGTATTGTAAAGCATTTTGGCATAGTGGGCAGTTCTGAATGGCAAACTTTTATTCCCACCTGGATTACTGGCACAGTCTAAAGGCAGGGATTTCACCAAGTCCTTGCCGGCTTTTATATAAGCAGTGCAGCTCTCTAACTTGAAATCTCACATGCTTCCGTTGTGTACATGGGAGTTGGAGTGGGCAAAATGGTCTGTATGAGATCGTGTGAGGCCTTTAATTCTGCTCTATTCCTGCAGGCCTTCTGATGCCAGAATAAAATTATTTCAGAAAAAAAGTCTTAATTTGATAATGTGTTTTCTAAGTTGAGATTGCTCCTTTCTTCTTCCTAAAGTCATATTCTTAGACAAATAATTCTCCTGGGCAGAAAACTGGAACTATCAGCATTACTGAGTATCCACCTAGGAAACTAAGGATCTGTGTGCATCTGCTCCATGGTGAGAACATGCACACATTAACATATTGCTTGCAGTGTGTTTTGGAGGATGGGATGGTATGTTACCCTTTTGATCTTCTGACAAGTTCGTGATGTGTGTGTGCAGCACGAGGTGGGAGTTCAGTGATGGAGCTGTTGTGGAGAAAGGTCTATGCCTGAAAAAGAATGGACTTTCTAATTACCATCAAGGGTGCTTGAGGGTTCTGCAGTAACAATGTATTTTTCTGTATGTAAAAGTTTTAACTTATTTTCCTGATATTTCCAAGAAATATACTATCCTCAATATATATGGACTGCACACGGTCGTGACTGTTTTTTGGTTGTGAGGTTTTTTTAATTGTTTCAAAGCTTTTAAAGTTTGTTTGTTCATACTGGCATAAATTAATTTGAAGATTGAGGAATAAACTCTAGTAACCCTCACCCTTCCAAACAGAAGGTGCATCTCTGTATTATTTATTTATTGGCTTTTTTTGAACAAATTTATCTTAAAAAATAAAAAGCTCCACTAGTAGTTCTCCACTGACCAGTTTCTTTTGGTGCATTCTAATTTCTAAATACCAAATGACCAAATGCCAAAATCTCAAATAGCTCATTGTAACTACTGAGCAAATTTATTCTTATTGCTTTTAAAGAGTAATACTAAATGTGCTTCTTGGTCTTTTTTAGAATGTGCTTATAATGTAACTACAATGCAGAAAAATTCCACAGTAACACATTTTCTACCTAGTCAGTCATAAAAATTCTAAAAATACATCATGCATGAAAGAAAATAAAAAAACCCACAAAATGTACATGGGAGAACACTCAGATAGCCTAGCCCAGAGATGGAGAGAAACATCAGTTTAAGATGCAAGACCTTTAAGAAGGGGCCATAATATCTGAAAAGGAGCATCTTCCTTAAATTTCTCAAAAGTTTCAATTAGACATATATTTCTGCACACATTACTATAAATCCTCTGCAGTTAAGAATTCCCTGTAGTGACAGCTTGTGGATGATAGTTGCCTAAGTAGGATTGTTTGCGATGCCAGTCATTAGAAGTTGCAGGCATGGCATTTTTTCCTTCTGCCATTGCACAGTTGTGTCTAAATAGCCTTTTGAAAATCTCCACACATGCATATTGGGGTCAGTCAAAAGACCTTGGTCTCTTTTGTACAAGAAGACTTGTAATTTAGCAGCTAGAAATCTGTCGACTGGAAGCAGAAGCAAAGAGATTAACTTTTTGTGCCTGCACCTCCCACTTCCAGCCTTGTCAACTCCAGTGGGCATTCCTGGTCCCTCAGTTTGCAGCCAGTGGACAAACATTTCCACAGGGCTTAAAAACCCTTCTCAGCACCAAAACAGCACAGCTACCCCACAATACCTATACCATAAAGCAGGGGCTGGAGACACCACACACAGGGGAGCTTTAGGATGAGATCTAGGCCAGGTTTACCTCATCCACATTTTTTTTTTCTGTAAGAGAAAAGGTTTCTATATGATTCCTGATAGTTTTTCTATTCACACACAACCCAGGTGGCTGTCAGTGCAATAGTGAAGTAAGGAGCAGGTCTGCATATCTAATACAGGCAAATAAATACTAGGAATTTAGAAAAAAAATGTATGTTTACACTCATCCAATATTTAAATCTTCCTTGGTTACTGGACCATAACACAGGCCCACTTCTATTTCATGCAAAATAATTTGCTAAAACGTGATACTATTTAACTGACACCAGCCTTCTATTAATAACTTAAGGAATAAAGCTCCCAAGTAAAATTGTTCCGTGTTGTCTGGCACCTGCAGCTGATAAAAGAAGTCTGGACTTTCAAAGAACTCTTTGCATTTGCATAGGAAATGCCACAGAACAAGTTTTCCATATTAATTGGCAAAGAGCCCAGATCAGGCTGTACATCTCCTCTCTCACTGCCATTTGGCTCCTCTTCTGTACACATGCCTACTTGAATGTGTGTTGGATTCAGGTCCCTGAAACAACTTCATTCTTAGAGCTTCATGCCTGGAGTGAATCCAAACTGGATCTGCTGAACTGCTTACTCTCTTCAGTTAAAAATCATTAAAACAGAGGTTACTATTTCAGTTGATTCTTTTCAAACAGGACTTAAAAGAAATGCTGGTCATATTTTTCCTTCAACTCAAATATCTACTCTTCATATCTGTTTGCAATGCCTAAATACTTACTTGAAACTTAATTGAAATTAAGTTTTCTTGTTATATATAAATGGAAAACAATGACTGAATTAATACTTGTCTTAAAAAGAGGCACAGTGTTGAAATTCCACTTGGTCCTGTACAATCTCTTAGAATCAAATGCCTTGGGAATACAAAAGAACAGGGTTAGCCCATACAGAAATGTTACTTGTAAGTGCTCCAATCATTTGTGGCATCTGAGGAATTTTTACACAGTCCAACTTTGCTTAAAGAAATACTTGTTTTGATTTGGAAGTGTTACTAGTTTCAACTGTTGCTCATATGTTCTCTCATAATTGTCGTCTATTCATTTTATCAATTCCACTCATGATTTCAGGCATCTTTATCATATTCTCTCTTATAATTTCTTTCCTAGGCTCAGAAAAGAGTTCACCTAATTCATGATGAACTAATAAAGTGAGTCTACTGCTTAATCCAAACTGGAAGATCTGCAGCATAGCTAAACAAATAAAATACTCCACATAAGCTTTTTTTTTTTTTTTTTGTATAGCATTAGAAAATAATCCAGGTATATAATTTATATGGAAACCTATAGAAAATTAGGAAAATAACAAGTATTAGCACAGATATTTTGGATACAAGATGCAGGGAGGAAATTATTCCACGGTCCATTGCTGGAGCAGTGTGTGGTTAGGGGCGTTACAGTTGAAGAAACTTTTTGGGAAAGTCCAAAATAGAAGAACAGTGAAGGAGCAAACTGTAAATGCACCTCTAGAGATGTGTATTTGCAACAAATCCAGACACTAATGAAGATTTTGGTGTGCAGTGGCGATGGATCACTTACACAAGCTCATGTGTAGAGAGAAGATTTTGTGGAGAGGCTTGAAGATACAGCATCTGTGGCATTTGTCACATCTGTCTCTCCTTAAGCAAAGCAGATGGAAGGAAAGAAAACTTTCCTTCCTTGGAAAGGAAGCTCATTTGAAGGGATTACTGTGATCATAGGAAAAAGAGGGTCTGCTCAAGAAATGCTAGAATGATTTACAGAAAGATTATAAATTAAGTTTCTAAAGCAATAAGAATTTTCAAATATGAGGAAAGCAATTAGGCTGCAGTGGCACTACAAAGTTTTGGCAACAAAGAAATTAATTTTAAGAAATACAAAGCCAGGCAATCATGAAGTGAAAATTTACTCCCAATTCTGACAATATCAGAGCATCATGGCAAAAGATAACAATTTGGATGTTTGAAAAATGGTTTTGTAGCTTTATTGAGATCTGGGCAATAAGAAACAGAAGATACATTGGGAGGGGCTGGTAGAATGCAGATGTGCAATGCACAGTGAGGGAAGCACTGGCCTGGTCATTAGCTAAGATATGCTCATGACTAAAAGAAAAGTAATCCAAAACTGAACAGTCTTAAGGTCTGACAAGAAGAAAATGATAAGGGTCATTCATCATTAAAAAATCAGGGAAATGTGAATTTTAAAAGCGGTCCTTTTGCCCTTGATCAAGAAGTTGGGATTCACAAAGAGTGTTTTATCATAATTAATATCTGTATAATAAACAGGTGCTTTATAGCTTTACAGAGCAGAGGGTTTATTTTAAACTACATGACCACATGAAACAAAAAAGGATGTAACCCATGAGTTCCTAAAGGCCATAAACTATATGTCACAGTCAATCTTGAATATTTCTTCTTCCACACAGATGTCAGATGAACCAAGATAATTTCAGTGAAGGCAAGTAGTGGATAACAAAGGCAGTAGCAGTGCCACACCATGGCATCATGACTGCAAGTGGGAGAGAACAGTGTAGATGCTTCAGGAAATCAGTGTTCTAAAAAAGCTTCCATCTTGCTTGCTGCAGATTTTATAAATTAAAATAAAAACTCTCTTCTATTCATTTGCTGACCATTTCTGGCATATATCAGAGGTAGGAAGAAGAGTCACAGCTATAGAATGTCAGAAAATAGTTTTAAGACGCTTTAATAGGAGTGGAAAAGCAATCCACTAACCTCTGGAAGGGAAGGATGTAAAATGAAGCTCCAAGGGTAGGGTTGTGGGGTTTTTTCTGACACACTGCTAGTTTTACATTCTAAACATTCCTTGTGTCTCATTCACAGCCCTGTATGACAAGTAAAGCAACAGATCCCCAGAAACTAAAAGAGTTCAACATCAAGAATACCAATTCCTGTGTACCACCTCTTGCTGGGAGCAGGTTCAGTCTGGCTTTCTACACTGAATCTTAAAAATTGGGTAATGATAAATCTCAGCAGTTCCAAAGAACAAGGAAGAGACTACTTTTACAACCAGATGGCTTGAGCCAACACAGAATAACTTCAGGATATAAAAGGGCTAGTGGAGGTTCATGAGAAGTCAGGCTTTTCTCAGCCTGATTTCTAGCACACAGTAAAACCTTTGAACATAACCAAATCCATTTACAGAAAACATGATAAGATGAATACTGCCAATCTGAAAACCAATAAAACCAAATGAGAGCAATTCCAGGAAGAACTAATTTACTTTTCATGCATAATTAGAAAGAGAGAATTCCCACAGTAAGCAGCTGAACCAGTGCACAGGCTGGCCAGCTGCCCAGACTACTAAGGAGTTTGCACCATTACACAACATTTTTTGAGGGTTCATCAACACTCCAAAGTCAGCAGAAATGCAAGGCAAGAAGGGAGAAACACTTTGATGATCCCCAGAATGAGATCCAGCACCGTCAGTATTAAATGGCTTGCATTGCTATTCTGACTTCAAAACCCTTTTCACCATGCTGTCTCTTAGGTTTGTAAGTGCAGGGACTTTTCCAAAAAAAAGATTTAAGTTTTCTAGGAACATTTACTGTACCACTTCTAAAAATAAATATCTCGAAAAGGGTTAAAATCTGCAGAGCTTTTGATCTGCATTTTGGAATACAGCAAGCTTAGAGTCAGCACAGGGCATGGAATCCTGGCAACAATTCTTTCCTGAGGAGTACCTTGCCAGGTAAATGGAAACTGGAAGTGCCGTGCTTCCATCCTGACATACAAGCCTGGCAAAATCACAGAAATTCTAGCGGCACAGCGATGACTTGGGACTCGGGGCTGGCCAGAGAATTGCCTTCAAAGAGGGAAGTGCTCTTCAGAAGAAAGGACTGTCTCCTCTGAACCCACTGCTTTAAGAAATACAGATGCTCCCAGTTTGAGTTAGCTTGCAGAAAGAGATTTCAAAGTAGGTAGAAGCTTCTGGTATCAGGAGACAGAACATCAACTGTGACTGCAAAACCACACAGCAAACGCTGCTTCATAGAATAGCGGGGAAAAAAAAGGATGGGGTGCATAAAATCTTCAAATAGAAATGGTAGTCCAAATATCTCATCGGACCTGGGACCCAACTATAATGTCAATTTAAAATGTGCAGTGGGATTTGGCATGACTTCATCCTAAAACTCAGGAAACAGTTGGGGAAATCATGGCTAGAGAAATGGGAAAAGTTACATGGTGGGCAGCAATTTCTGAAGAAGTGGCCCGTGGGCTTATTACAGGGAGGCTTTCCATGGGTTTACAAAAGAAATCCATGGATGTTTAGATGAATGTATAACTTCTGTGTAACATGCAAATACTTAAAAGTGGAATTTACAATTAATCATGTATTTCTTTTCTGAATGAATAAGTGGCTCTCACTGTCATCATCAGAGTTGAAAAATGAATCTGGTATGTTACAGGCTGGGTTCCAGCTACACTAATATGACAGAAATTAACTACCATCCTTCAATTTTAAATAAAAAGGCAAGTGCATTTTTTAGATCAAGCAGCTGAAACAATATTGTCCTTTAAAATATATGCAATTAGCCACACTAAAAAAAGACTTATGAAAAGTTCATATGAGCAAGAGAGTACCACTGGCTTTTTATTTCGTGACTTTCAAGGGTGACATTTTGCTCTTTCTTGATTCAGCATTTGCTTAGTGAACACAGTTGTTACCAACGGCATTAATTGTACTTTTTCTCAGGTGTCTTAGTTTAGCAACGGCAATAATTTCCATTGGGAATTTAAATTGGGAATTTTAAGCTGAGTTTTGAAATGAGAGAAAATACCTCTGACAGTGGAAAAGTATTCAAAGAAAAGCAAGTATACAGAAGCCAAGAAAACAAATCCAACAGATATGGAGGGCACAGCTCCCTGAAAAAGTTGGTGGGCTTTGTAGGGCATTGCAGGACAGGCCCACATTTCTCAGGTCTTTGCCCAGAGTCAGCAGTCATTTCAAATATAATGGTTTCCAGCCTGGAAAAGAGCATGCACCAAATCTACCTGACCCAGGGAAATTTAAGCTGAAAAACCAGCACAGAGGAATTGGAGATGCCCTAATGTGGTTGCTGCTTCAGAGTTCATCCACAGTCAGCATGGATAGCACCGTGCAGGTGCTCTGTCTGCTGACAGCACCAGGCAGGAGGGGAACAATTCCATCCTGAAGGTCAGAGCTGTGTAATGTGCATGATCTCTCACTCACCAGAAAAGATGGATCATGGGTAGACTTCAGAGGTAAAAGAAATCAATGGTATTTTACCAGTCATCTTCAGGGTAAACAGCACTTGCACAGCATAAAAAATTTATCAGCATTTTGACAGGATATGTCAGCATCCTGAACAACAAAGTGCAACGTGTTTCTGAAGGACAGCTCTCTTGAGGTCTAGAAAGGCGTGAAACTGGGAATCTTACACATACACAGGGACTAAAGCAAAAAATTAGTTTGAGCACTAATGGGAAAGAGTTCTGGAAAAGAAGGGAAAGTGGATCATATAAAGTTCTTTAGAAGCAAGTACCCAAATGTGTTGTTTATGCTTTGGAGAGATAAACAAATCCACTTCCATGAAAACCATTGAAAGTGCAGTGAGAAAAACGAGAAAAAAAAAACATAATACATATAAACATATAATTAAATTGGCTTTGCAAAGAAGTCTCACTCTGCATGCCATTCCCTGCCCTCAACACAGCCTTCATTTTTTTCTCTCATTAGCACATTTGTAGCACTTAGGCATACAGATCAGGACATGCCAAAACCACGAGTTCAATTCAGACGAGTTCCACAGGCACAGACGTTTCTGCAGATATGTTTGCAGCATCACTGCTGTACCTTTCAGGACCAAGACCTGGAGCTTCTGCAGATTACCTGGATTACTTATAATGTCTTTTGGCCAGAGAAATTAACATGGCTGAGAAACTGTCCCAAAGCTATTGGAAAAGCAGCCCATCTTTATGCACATTTAAAATGTTCTGGAGACCATTTTCCACCACACTTTAAATATTTTTCCCACTTAAAGTTTCTTACCTGAAGAATTTTGACTTTTCCTAAAACGTTCTCCTGTGACATTGCTTGAATGGCCTGTTCACTCTCTGTTCTCCCATCAGGTATGAAAATACTGTCATGGGAAAAAGCTCTACTGCCCATAGAATAATGTGAGGATCTATTAAAAATAAAAACAGAAACAGTCAACAAGTAAGTAAGTACTGCAATTAATTTATGAGAGTGACTCTTCATATCATAGTTGTCCTGCTGCCAGGGATTTCCCCCCCATTGCCTTCTACATAAAACCTTTGTACATTCTCAGAGTAGAGGTATCCAAACACTTTTGGTTTTCAAAAGTTTAATGGAGGTGCACGTTTCCTTTATATACAGTTTTTCTCCTTGGAAGGACCTAGAGTTGGGTGTTTTTAATAAGCATGTTGAGAAGTTCAATTGATTTTGCTTGTAAGTCTCAAATCTAAATGTTACTTTCAGGATACAGGCTAGATGGTGATGATGCACACATTGCCAGACGGCAGATTTAAGAAAGTGCATTATTCATGCTTAGTGCCACTGCTTGGGACACACTGTCACTCCTGGTTAAAGAGACTAGCAGGTGCCAAGCAAGGGGAGCTCTGTAACACAAAAAGAGGTGTTACAGTGCAGTAAGACACTTGTATAGAGCCACCTCCTTCAGCTGATTACTCAGCGCTTCTTATGGCCCTGAGCATGATCACACTGACAATAAAAGGTTATCACCAAACCCTCTGCTAAGAAGTCATTGCACCAAGCTGTGTGTCCTTGATTATCCACACAGAGTGAGAAATGCCCATGTGCTGCTGCCAAGCTGAGCACCCATGCCCAGGAGAAGGGTGTGTCATGAGTGAACCAGTTATATGGCTCTGATTGAAGTCCACAGGCAAAGGCATGAAACAAAAAGGGGTTTCATTTACCAGAAATTGTTCTAATTAATTTAATTATAAGGTAACTTTGAATTAAAAAAAAAAGGCTTGTGGTTTTGGGGGTACACTGAGAGAAAAATGTATCAGTTTGAAAGTCATGTTTTGTCTCACCTAGAATATTCCATGGTAAGTGAAAAGCCAATAATTTACAATCATGATAAAAGCCACAATAAAAAAAAAAAGGACTAGAACAACTGAGAGGTACTAAATCTCTCCTTTCAATAACCTGTTGGCAACCCTACAGAACCCATTTATAGTTTCAGTAAACAATTCGGAGGGAAAAAAAAGATAGTTTTGATACAGATCTGTCCAATGTAACTGTCTACATATGATAAAGCATTATAAATAAATATTTCAGCAAAAGCAAGGAAGATGATACTTCCAGAGAGAGATGTAAGCAAAAGAACAAGAAAAATTAGGTTTCACATATTTAAGATAAGTATATTATCTTTTCTGCCTTTTATAATGTGCTAATTGTTCATGAAGTGTTCAAGATATTTCTATTCCTACTTTGGAAACAAATTAGTTGGGAATGAATTTATTACATTTTCATCTCATTTTTCCCTGAGGTATTTTAAGTAAAAACAACAGTCTTTTCTTACCAAGGGAGAGTGTCATATAGGGTTACATAACCCTGTTGAAACTGATTAGATGATAGACTATTCTTGACTTTTATAATAGAATTTCTTAGAGGTAAATATCCTGAAAAACAACAGAATAAAAAGATCCCCAAACCCTCTCTCTCTCTCGTTTACATATAAAATACTTTTGCACGTACAAAATAACCAGTCCAATTTTGGGGGGAGAACACACACAGTTCTCTGAATCATTTCATTTTCCACACAATCACAGACTAACTGAAAAACTGCTTTTCATCCAGATTAATATTTGAGCAACATGATTAATTTGAAACAAACCAACACACAATCAGGCAAAGAGCTGGTCAATATTCCACAACAGTTTTAGCCATGGAAGAAGAGGATCATTTAATGGATGCTATATTCTATGTTTGATTTTTTTTTCAATAAAACCCGCAAGCCAATTGCCTCTGGCTGTTAAAGGTAGTATACCTTTAAAGTTTCTTTTAGAAACCTTTTATTAGAGAAACCATAAAATTATTTTTTTTAATCCTCTTCTGAAAAGGTTCCTATGCCAAATCACTGTGACTCAGTCTGTACACAGAGCTGTGGAAAATTGCTTGGCACTGAAATAGTTCTACCTTGCTTGGCCAGCCAGGAGTCAACCAGTGAACCACAACTTGAGAGGTGTCCCTTACACAGAGACAAATTCCTGGCAGGTTTGGAAATGAATGGTTTGACATGAAACTGAGTGAAAGCTGGCTTTTCTCATATAATTGTGCAGGTCTGTTTGAGTTGAAAGACTCAGCATTGCATTCGACACTGTGGGAAGGACACATGCAAAATTTTCCACACCAGCCCACAGGAACCCCTCCTGCCTTGTGCAGGTGCAGAAGGCAAGGCCAGTGGGAACTGGTTGTTTGTTCTTTACCTTTGAGCTAGAGAATTGCTGAGAATGCACAGTCCAGGTCATATTGCTCTCCAGAGAGGATCCTTTCTCAAACATTTTTCCAGCTATGCTGTGGCTCAGATACTTGTGGCTTTGTCTCACAGCTGCTCGCTGTGCATACAGCACCATTCACCCCTTTTGCTGCCCAGTGGATTGGACTTCCCATACTTAAAATCAGACACCTCACATACATTTGTTTTGTTTGTTACAACTAATTACTAGGCAAGGGTTGCAATTAAGGCACCAAAAAGTTCAGTGACTTGTTTGGAAGCTGTTCTTGACCTTACTAATGAATTGTTAATACTGAAGTTGGGAGCAGCCAACCTGAAACTGAAGAGAATTTGCTAACAGTTCAAACCCCAAAACTGCAGTTGACCAACAGCAGGAATCCTCTGACTCTAGGAATTGACTGATAAAACCCGAATCTCTGAAACAGAAGAAAAGAGCAACTGCTGAGGTCAGTTCTGGTGGAGTGCCTGGGACATGGCTGTGAGTGAAAATCTTCCCCACCCTGCTGCAGAGCTGAGGACAATTTTAGGAATCTAGTCTCTCCTCCTGCCTGCAAACTTGCCAAAATTTCATTTAAAGCTTCCTTTGGGGACACCCGGTCACATGAAGCAGCTTTGCAGCTCCATGTGATGTGCAATCATACATCATCACTGAAAATCCAACCCTGTCTTTGGATCGTGCCCACAATGGTACCAAGGCAAGTTAGGACCGTGCTAAGCATCTACAGCATCTCCAGCATTCTCCCAGACACCAACTGCTCTCTCCCTCTGTCCCCTCATTACAAGGCACCACACATTTTTGTTTCATAGAGCTGAGGACAAGCATATCTGAAGGGTTTTGTTTCCATTTTTGTTTTCTTGTTGACTTGATAATAAAACATACTCCAAATTGTCAGAACACATGAAAGTCACCAGAAACCCCACACCACAGTGAATTATTGCCAGACTGTTCTCTACTCTATCCCTTCAAAATGCTTTGCAAATATGCTGAATATTTCAGAAGTGGGTGAATGAGCAATTCTGCTAGCCACATGTCCAACAACTGGTAAAAATAGTTTAAGAATTTTGTTTAAATATCTATGTAGGCTAAAGAACATTGGAAAAAAGATATTCACACATTGTAGTAACCTAGTTTCCTTTACAGCCAAGTTTAAATAGCAGTTAAGGTGATTTCCAAGCTACTTGTACTTTCTGAAAGGTCTCTTATTTTACTCCCTTGGAGCCCACAATCCTTTCACATTTTCCCAGTTGTGAATTTGACAGATTATATCACAAAGGTCCTTTTTCCACTGCTTTTTTTCACTTTGCTCATGCTCTACTTCTGGAAAGACTGAATTTCTTTTAAGTCATAATACAGTATGAATAATTGAGTTTCCTTTGCTGCTAGACATTTCTGAAGTTTTTCTCAGAAGTCTTTATACAATAACATCCTCACAATCCACATTTACAGACTGTTCTCCCTTCAGTTAAAAGGCACGTCAATATCAGGAGTGGATTTCAACAAATTCACAGCATGACTGATATATGGGCTACAGTCATAGCCATAGCTGAAGGTATTACAGTTGCAACCTTCCATATCACTTCCAAGAGAAGTGGGAAAACAGGGACATCAGTTTATGAGCACTTCTGTTGATAATTCCAGTGATGACACTTCAGAGGCTGTTTGTGCTGAAAATAGTTGAATCATCATCTGACTCACTTTCAGAAACCTGACTAAATTACATGAATTATGGATGTGCTATATCAAAATACAAAGCACTTTTAATAAATCCTTAAACATGTTCTCTCTGAAGATGTGTTGCAACCCAAATATCATGTTCCAGTTTCAATTGCAATATACAAATTTTCAAATCTAATTTTTTCATAACTGAGAGCAAGGTTAAATTCCATTTGCTCTTTTCCATTACTCATTTTTGCTGAAGTGTCTGTGTGTGCTAAGAAACTAGGAAATGCCAAACAAATCTCCCACAGTAGAATGGGACCACCCTGAGCCTACAGGAAAATTCTTACTCCTCTCCCATGAAATACAGCATGCAGAGACCCTCTTTGGACTCTCCCTCAGCCATCCACTGCTATGGATCTATTTAGGATGTGATTTTCCATCAGTTCCAGGTACCTCAAATCAGGACTGGGTGAGGTATCACACTCTCTTTATCCTGCTCTCCATGTGTTCCCATCACCTCCCATCACTTCTTTTGTGTCTTATTAGTGGGCATTGTTAACATGAAACAATTCAGAGAAATGTTCTGGTAACTAGAATAACCAAGAACCAAGTGCAAAAAATGAAACAAAAGCAAAGAACAAAAACAAACAAACAAACAAACAAAAAAAAAAAAACAAAAAAAAAAAACAAAAAAAAACAAACAAAAAAACTAACTAAACCAAAACCCCCCAAAACATCAGAACTCAAGAATCCACACAAATTCCTGGTTCAGCTGAGCAAAACACACGTTTCCATGCTAACTGCATATCTAGAGAGCTGTTGGAAAGAGTCAGACATCAATCAACATTTACTGCTCTACACTCTTAACTACATCAGAGCATGTGCAGGGACACTTTTGCACAGAATACAAAGTTATTGTATTAGCACTGGTGACTATGATTTTATACCCCGTTTTTCTCCAGAGCTATTTATCCTCTTAAAGACAAATGTGTGATCCTTTAAAACGGGGAAGCTTTTCCAG